AGGTTCTTTTTTTTTTTTTTTTTAATGGCAATGAGACATGTCTGCTCCCAGCAGCACAAATCTACTTCAGAAAAGATGATGAGCATCAAAGCAACTCCACATGGAGTTTACTTTCTTGGTGGCAAAAGTCAGCCACTGGGCAAGAAATGCCCTTGCCTTGACTGCTGACAGTATGCTGCTGGACAAGCAGGACACAAAAGAAAGTAAAAATTTTGCCAAGACAAGGCGGAGCAGTCCTTTAAAATCCTGCTTCACAGAAAAGGATGTCAGATATTCTAGGCCTGCAGGCTAAAGATGGATGCCCCAACATTACAGAGGAACCTTGGGTGACTGTTCAGGCAGCCAGCTGTTTCTATCATTTCTTAATTTTGGAAGTTGTTTGCTCTGTTTCCTGTTTACTCGGGTAATTTTATGTCCTTCTCAGGTCTCTCATGGAGCTGAAAACTAGACAGTTATAGTTATAGTTATAGTTTTCCTTGTTACCAAATTCAGAAAAGAAATTCACAAAAGAGGTGTAAAGTGTATAAAGTTGAGAGACATCAAAAGATAGTTTGGGGGCTGGAGAGATGGCTCAGAGGTTAAGAGCACTGACTGTTCTTCCAGAGGTCTTGAGTTCAATTCCCAGCAACGACATGGTGGCTCCCAACCATCTAGAAAGAGATCTGGTGCCCTCTTCTGGCCTGCAGACAAACATGCAGACTGAACACTGTGTACATGATAAGTAAAGATATCTTTAAAAAAAAAAAAAAAAAAAGATAGTTTGGGATTGGTAATGCAAGTTAGGATAGAAAGTGAATTAGGTACAACATTTTGGACTCAGCAAGATAGGATAGATAATGGAGTTTTTTTTTCTCTGAATTTGTCAAATGCAAATAGACTAGACATTGTTAATGTAATTCTTGCCTGTATATACTTGTATATAGTTATTGTACTTATATAGTTTTACTATGTTAGCTAAAACCCTTGCTTTTATTTAGACAACAAGGGGGAAATATTGTGTGATATTTTGATTATGTTCTGACAAATAAAGCTTGCTTGGAGTTAGAGGGTGGGACCAGCCACTAACTGACCACAGAGGTTTGGAGGACCGTAGAGAGAAAAAACAGGAAGTGGTAAGGTGGGGCTGAGAGAGGGTCTTGGCCCTTTTGGATGGAGGACTGGCAGAGGTAGGAAGCAACTAGCGGCTGCTCCTGGTTCTCTGATCTTTCAGGTTCTTACCCCAATATTTGACTCCCAATTTTTTATTGATAAAGATTACTTAGGTTAACACTACCTACCATCATTAACTCTTTAACTTTGGTTTGCTAGATGCTTAATTTAATCATTAATTCAAAAGTGAAAGTATGCCTGTGGGACATCACTCCCTGAACCACACAGAACAAACAAACTATTATGTCAATTAAAAACAATGACCAAAAGGAAATAAAGTAAAAAGAAATCTTTTCTACATTTTTTTAAACTGAACATATGTAGAACATAAAACTATGTACTGAATATTAAGAGAAATAAAAAATGTATTTATAAATTTGCAAATACCAAGAACTTACTTGAAATATGACAAGGCAGATTTACCAAAGGCTCAAACATAACAACTGCAGATGAAGTCACATGACATCTACTGTCTTCATCCCTGGCAAAGATGGCCACCAACCCGGAGGCTCCTAAAGATGGTGGCAAATCACATGCTGTTTATATCCTAAAGAGAGTCACGTCCCATGGTTCCTTCTCGATTACCTGTGCATAGATTTTCAGCTGTCACATCCAGGTTACAAGGTTGAAGCTAACTTGAGGTACAGAATGTTCACAGAAACCCAATCTAACTCTTGGCTCCTCTGCTTTCCTTCCCCTGTCACAGCCCCAGGCGGCTCAACTGACCCAGGACACAGAGGAAACTTGTCAATCAATATGCTTGAGTAAAGAGAAGAGATAGCAATCGTTCACCTTCAGAGCCAGCTTTCCAATGAAGTAGAACAGCATAAAACAACTTCAGTGTTATCCACAACCAAAGACATCTGAATTCCTGCTAACCTGAATCCACTCAGCAGAGAGCTCAAAAGCAGCCATGGCTCAGTGGTGGCTGGTGGGCTGGCAGAGATGGCAAACAGACCATCCACATACTGAAAACAGACAGACAGATGGACAAAAGTTTCCAACCAACCAGATCCAAGTCTTACTATTTGCCCTGATGGGAGAACACTGAGGTCCAGCGGAACCCCCTCCCTGTCCCAGATTGGGATCCTACAGAATAGACCAGACTATGACTCCCCAGGAGGCCTCCGTAGATGCTTGTTGCTTTCAGCACAGCAGTTCATCCGATAGTCTGAGCATGGGCCTCCGGAGGTAGCCCCTCAGCCCTGGAGTTCCAGAGTGAAAGTCCAGCTTTAAAATTTGGGTGGGTGGTCTGAATCTTGCTGGGGACCTCCAGAAAACATTAATCCCACTGGCTGAGAATAAGACCACTACCACAATTTAAAGCCAAATTTGACATTTTAATTAAAGAATGGGCAGGTGGATGGACTCCAGGTTCCCAGGAAATGGCCACGAGTCATGTTTCGCTGGGGCTTAAAAAGGCAAAACTCGTAATTCATCACACCTCCCATCAGGTCCAGTCAGGGGCAAGCACACCTCCTGAGATATCTCCTGCCCATGCACCTCCCGCCCACTTGTGCTCAAGCACATCTGGTGCTGATGGGTCAAACAAACACAGGAAAAGAGCAACTAATTCTTAACTGTCTTAACTGCAAACAGAACTCTAACCTGCAAGGTCTGTTTCCTGCTTTAGTCTCACAATGGTGCTGAACCAAAACCTCAGGGCTGGGAAGGCCCAATGCTGAGCACAGATGAAGAGAAAATTAAATACAAAGACTGAGCACAAGACAGACAGACAGACAGACAATCCACTGAAAATGTAGATCAGAAAAGCTAACAGCTGGAAATTTTGAAAGGTACCAAGTACAGGATTCAGCAAGAGGCCCTGACCTTTACCTAATCTGGGTTCCACAAGCATACTGAGAAACAATCAGACATTCACACACATTTATGTGTGTGTGTGCATGTTTGTGTGTCTGTGTTTGTGTGTAATTGTGTTTCTTAGCCAGTGTGGTGATGCACGCCTGTAATCTCAGCATTCAGAAAGCTGAGGCATAAGTGTAATCAGATGTTTCCTGTCCGACTTCCAGGTCCCAAATAATCACTCTTAATATTACTTATAAATGCTCAGCCAATAGCTCAGGCTTGTTACTCCATTTCTAGACGTCCTGTTTTTTCAGCAGCTGACTTGTGTCTCCTTGACTCCTCCCTCCTTCTTCCCATCATTCTTAGTTTGGCTTTCCCACCTAACTTCCTGCTTAGCTACCAGCCTGTCAGCTTTTTTTAACCAATGAAAGCAATACATATTCACAATGTAGAAAAGGATTGTTTCACAGCACATGAGGATCATCCAGAAGTTCAGGGCGAGCCTTTAATCCCAGTACTTGGGAGGCAGAGGCAGGAGAATCTCTGTGAGTTTGAGGCCAGCCTGGTCTACAGAGCAAGTTCCAGGACAGCCAAGGCTACACAGAGAAACCCTGTCTCAAAACAAACCAATAACCCAAACAGATGATGACTGAAATTTTTCTAGATCTAATGAAAGACACAAAGTCCCAGAATCCATGCTTTTTATAACACAGTAATATTTATACTCAGTGGAGGAATGAGAAGAAACTTTTGAACACACAGCAAAACTACAGAATACAAAGTGATAAAAAACTTATTTTTATACAGGTTTTTAAAAAATGTTATTTTTTACTTTTATGTGTATAAGTGTCTTGACTGCATGTATGTCTGGGCACCACATGTATACCTCTCTGGTCCCAAAGGAGGAGTATTTTTTGAGACAAGGTCTTACAAAGCCCAGGCTGGCATCACTATGTAGCCAAGGATGACCTTGAACTCCTGATCCTCCTGCCTCCACTTCCCAAGATTATAGGCACAGGCTACCACACCTGGATGACAAGGGAAAGATAAAGATGAATGTGGTGGTTTGAGTAAGAAGACCCCACGGGCTCGTAGATTTGCATGCCTGGTCCTTAGTTAAAGAACTGTTTGGTGGATCTCTGTGAGTTCGAGGCCAGCCTGGTCTCCAAAGTGAGTTCCAGGAAAGGCACAAAGCTACACAGAGAAACCCTGTCTCGAAAAACCAAAAAAAAAAAAAAAAAAAAAGAACTGTTTGGAAGGATTAGGAGGTGTGGCCTTGTTGGAGGAGGTGTGTCACTGGGGGTGGGCTTTGAGGTTTCAAAAGCCCCCACCCCATCTCTCTCTGTCTGTCTCTCTGTCACTCTTTCTGCCTGCTGCCTACAAACGTAGCTCCCAGATACTTCTCCAGCACCATGCCTGTCTGGATGTTACCATGCTCCCCACCACCCCATCATGATGATAATGGACTTTCTGAAACTGTAAGCAAGCCCCCAATCACACGCTTTCTTTATAAGTGTTGCCATGGTCATGGTGTCTCTTTACAGCAATAGAACAAACCCTAAGACAATGGACAATCTATTTTTTTAAAATGATAGCTAAGTATTGTTAATGTGTGCTTGCAATCCCAGGACTTGGGGGTGCTGAGGCAAAAAGACTTTGAAATGAAGGCCAACATGGACAACAAAGAGTCTAAAAACAAGCAGACAGACAGACAGACAGACACGGAGACAGAGAAAGAGAACAAAATGTGAACAGGGGCTGGAGGGAGAGCTGGCTCAGTGATTACGGGCACTTACTATGTAACCCTGAGGACTGGAGTTTGGAGCCCAGCCCAAGTAAGAAAGCAGGCACACACATGTAACTCTAGTTCCCAGGGTGGGAAAAGACAGGGTTGGGGGGCTGGCCGGCTTCCCGTCTAGCTGAGAAAATGCAAGCCCCAGGATGATAGAGAGATTCTGCCTCAAAGGAACAGTGGAGTGAGAGGCGGGCACCTGAGGTGCTCTTTGGGCTGCTGCTTGCTCATGTGTGCAGGCTCATGCACCTACCTTTTCTGCTGCAGCGCCTCATCCAGGACTTCTTGCTTTTCCTGCAGCATCCGTTGCAGGTACCTCATCTCCTTCTGGTACTGAGCTGCTTTGCCAGCAAAGTCCTCCTGCTGCTCCGCCAGGCGATGACGGATGTCACCCAGCTTCAATGCTGCCTGCTTCTTGTACTCCTGAGGGAAAGCAGGCAGTGAGCAAGCACCTCTTGGGAGTCAGAGCCGATTGGCTAAGTGGGCCTCAGACAATGCTGAACTGGAAGGCAAGTCTGGGCTTTTTTTTTTTTTTTTTTTTTGTTGGTTTTTCGAGACAGGGTTTCTCTGTGTAGCTTGGCGCCTTTCCTGGATCTCGCGCTGTAGACCAGGCTGAAGTCTGGGCTTTAAAAGGACTGAAGGGCCAGGCGGTGGTGGTGCACGCCTTTAATCCCAGCACTGGAGAGGCAGAGGCAGGTGGATCTCTGTGAGTTCGAGGCCAGCCTGGTCTATGAAGCGAGTTCCAGGAAAGGCGCAAAGCTACACAGAGAAACCCTGTCTCGAAAAACCAAATAGAAAAAGAAAAAGGACTGAAGGACCATGTGCAGCTGGAGCTTGGGAAGAGTGCTTGCCTAGCACTCACACCAAGGTCTAGATTTGGGCCCCAGCAATGTATAACACTGGTGGGTAATCCCAGCACTTGGGAGGCAGAGGCAAATCTGAGTTTGACGTCACCTGGGCTACACAGTGAGACTCTGACTCAAGAAAACAAAATTTAAAAAGGACACAAAAGAATTTCAGGTCTAAGAAAACCTGAGAGATGGCTCAGTGGTTAAGAGCACATACTTACAGAGGACCCAAGTTCAGTTCCCAGCACCCATGTGGGCAGCTCACAACCACCTATAACTCCAGCTTCAGGGGATCTGACTCCCTCTTCTGGCTTCCAAGGGCACCTGCACTCACATGCACACACACACACACACACACACACACATATAGACACATACATGATTAAAAACAAAATAAAATCTGAAAAGGAAAACCAAATTTCTAATCTATATTATGTCTGATTTTTCTGGGATTAATATGCTAAACATGAAAATTAAACATAAAATATCTGCATCATAGACCCAATTGGATGTTTTTACAAAATTAATCTACTGCAATTTTTATTTGTTTGTGTATTTTAAGGCAGGGCCTTGTGTAGCCCAGGCTAGCTTCAAACTCCATATATAGCTGAAGGTGTGACCTTCTGCCTCCACCTCCCATGTTGGGATTACAGGTGTGCACTGTCAAATCCAACTTTATACAGTGCTAGGCAAGCTCTATGCAGTGAGCCACATGCCTACGTCTGAATTCTTCATGGACAATCCTTTCATCAATTGGCAGCTTGAGAAAGAATGTCAACACTGTTTTGCTTTATCAAAGATGTCTCATGTAAGAACTCAGCAAGGGCTGGGATGCAGCTCAGTGGCTCAGTGCTTGCCTAGCATACAAATGGTTCACTCTCTAGTAATAACAACAACAAAAAGAAAGAAGCAGCTGGCTCGTCACCTCCCGTTCCGTGTGACTCAGGTCCTCAAGCATCCCCAGGCCTTTCACGTAATGTTTAAGGCTCTAATCACCGAGCCATCTCTCCAGACTGCCCAGCCAACTCTTAAGGCAGAGTGAATATGAACACCGACCATTAGGATTATGTTAGGATATTAATTCTACGGGAGTTATGTATCTAAACGTCTGACGTCAGTTTTGGAAGTTCTCAGTGGGGCTCAGTGGGCAAGCTGCTTGCCACCTGCCAAGGCCTGGAGAGTGATCCCAGGAAACTGCATGAAGCAGGAAGGAGAACAAACCCCATCAAGTGTCTTAGGTCACCCACGCATGCTGCATGCAGCCAAGGCACACATGCACCACACACAGACACTAAACACAATAAAGCTGAAAAATGAGTCTTGGGGCTGGAGAGGTGGCTCGGCAGTCACAACCACTGGCTGCCCTTGCAGAGGACCCAAGTTCAATTCCCAGTACCCACGTGTGGTTAACAACCACCCTTAACCCCAGTTTCAGAGGATCCCACATGATGGCCAAACATATATGCAGACAAGATACCCATACACATAAAATAAAAAATGAATAAATATTTAAAAAATTGCTAGGAGGTGGTGGTGCACACCTTTAATCTCAGAACTTGGGAGGTGGAGGCAGGCAGATCTCTGAGTTCAAGGCCAGCCTGTCTACAGAGTGAGTTCCAGGACAGCCAGGGCTACACAGAGAAACCCTGTCTCGGGAAAAACAAAACAAAACAAAATAAAAATAAGAAAAAATACATCTAGGAGGCTGGGGAGATGGCTTAGTACTTAAGAGCAGGGGCTGCTTTTCCAGAGGAGACTTGGGTTTGGTTCACAACCATCTACAACTAGAGTTCAGGGGGTCTGCTACTTTCTGACCTCGGCAGGCGCGAGGAGTGGTCATGGTACACAGACAGACATTCGGGTAAACACTTAGACACACAAAATAAAAAGAACTCTCTCTCTCTCTCTCTCTCTCTCTCTTTTTTTTTGGGAGACAGGGTTTCTCTGTGTAAAAGTCCTGACTGTCTTAGAACTGGCTTTGTAGACTAGGCTGGCCTCAAACTCACAGAGATTCTCCTGCCTCTGCCTCCCAAGTACTGGGATTAAAGGTGTGTACCACCACCACCAAGCTGATATGTCTCTTCTTAAAAAAGAAGTGGGGCCAGGTAGTGGTGGCACATGCCTTTTATCGGATCTCTGTGAGTTCAAGGCCAGCCTGGTCTACAAAGCGAGTTCTAGGACATCTAGGGCTATTATACAGAAAACAAAAAAGAATTGTGTACAGCTTTTATATTTCCATGTTTAAAAAAACAAAACAAAACAAAAAAACTTAAAAAAAAAAAACATGTTTTTTTAGTGACAGCATTTAACCATGGAGCCAGCAGACTTCCTTGTATTTTTTTTAAACAAATAATTGCTTGGTGTTTCACTGTGCAGCAAACCACAGCTTATTTGAAGAGGTACAAGGTGCTGTCTGCCAGCAAAGCCCAGCACAGCGTTTCTTCCTGTGTGAGAGACAGACTTGCCACACAGACTCCCCTTTGAGGCACCCTTTCACGTGGGGTGCACTGATGGCCGCTTACCTTCACCCTCTCCTCCAGCTTTCCCAGGCGAATGTTGCCTTTCAGGATTTTGTTGAGGACTCCGTGCTTCTCGCTCTCTAAACACTGAGCCTGAAGAAAGGGTGGAAACAGAAGCATTAGTGTAGCTTACACGGAAAGTCCTAGGAATTGCTCTGGGTTTCAGCCCCCTGGCATACCACTCATCTAGCGTTTGTGAGGCCCCAGGTCCAATTCCTAGTCACACACACACACACACACACACACATACACACACTGTGTGCCAAGGGCATCCCCACTCACAAACAAACTCCACTCCGTCTAATTCCGCCTTCTCCACTTTGGCTCCCACACTCCCTGAGAGAGGGCTGTGGGCAGAGCTTGGACAAGGGCTAAGGACCAACAAGGACTGTCCACACTGGGCATCTCTCCTCGGTAGGACAGGAGGGTCTGGGGTCCCTCAGAGCAGGCCTTTGCGAGCTTCCGAACACGTCTCTACCCTAGTGGACACAGCACTCCTACAGTGGTTTGGATGGGGTGTTCCCCAGTCTCCGGTATTTGAACTTGGTCCCCATTAGGTGGTGCTGTTTGGGGACAGATGGAACCTTCAGGAGGTGGAGACTTGCTGGAGCAAGTGTGTCACTGAGTGTGAGCTATGAGAGTTGATAACCTCGCCCCACTTCCTCTGTGTGTGTGAGATGTGATCTCCCAGCTTCCTCCTCTGGCTGCCTGCGGTCATGCCTGCCATTATGGACTCTTCCTCTGGAACCATAAGCCAGAATAGACTCTTCCTTCCATAAGTAGCTTTTGGTCATGGTTCCTTCAGTAGTATTCAAGGAATAATTGCTGTGATAAAAGCAAGCTTGTCACTTGCCTAATTTGATCACAACAAAATACAAGGGAATAATATAAACACCCGATGTTCTTCTCATACCAACATGGCAGACAGTAAATTCAAGAGAGATGTCATCTAAAGACAAGCAGTTTGCACTGACCCCCCCATGGGAAACAAGCTCCCACACACCGTGAAGGGTCCCAGCTGCTAATTAAAGAGAAATGTGTGGGGTGTCTTCCTCCTAAGGCAGCCTAGTGGCAGCAGCTGGCCTTCTAGAAAGGAAAGATCTGACAGAGAAAGTTAAACAACTTACTCCAAACCCCAGGAAGAAGTATCCAACCTTACCACGTCTGTTCCTCAGACCACTGTCTCCCTCAGAGAGGTGTAAATGGAGGTGAAACCAAACGGGGCCCTGTGAAGTCCCATGTGACTCCTGGATATCAGGACACTGCCCAGAGCAAAGTGGAGGCCTTTCCTAAAGACTGCAGGGGTGGGAGGGTCATGGGACCCCAAGAGCAGGAGGGATGTGACAGCAGGGAAGCCAATGTCACCCTGGTCTGCGTGATACGGGACCCCAAGTGCCCTGCCAGCTTCCACACACCCCTCCTCATGTGGCCACAGGGCCTTGGTGTATCCCAGGTCCTGCTGATGAGTGGAGTCAGGAGCAAGACAGCACCTCTGTCCACGTCCAGTTCTGACTCAATGGTCTGGCTTTTCAGGCTATTAAAAGATCAAGTTGGTGAAATTTACAACTTTTAAGTATTTATATACAGAATGTGTGCCTTCCAACTGTATTTCCATGCCTGGTCCACAAGGCTGAGATGTGGGCCTGAAGGGGCCACTTGAAGATGGAAAGTATCTCCATTGTACCACCAAAGACTGTCCCACCCAGGTGGGAGGTGAGGGGTCCCCACGTGTCCTGCCCTGGGATAAGATGGCTTCACATTTACCATGACACTGTGTAGCAGGCAGGTACTCAGGAAGGTACTCCAGGTGAGCAGTTTTGCTTGGCACCTTCCAACAAGCTTTTGCCTGCCCTTTCAACAGTCCAATGGGCACTTGGAGGGAAGGGGCACTAGGTGCTGTGACAGGAGGCATCAGCACTGTGGTCAGGACAGCAACTTGTCGAGAGGAGTCCCAGTCAGAAGATCTGAACGGCTTCAAGGTCCCTACCACAAGGCTGGGTCAACGTCAGGAAGGACCTAGAATGTGCCAGTAACGAACGGGGCCTGAGAGATGGCTCCGTGGGTACCCAGTGGAAGAGAGAAGGTTGTCTTCTGACTGTCAGCTCTTATGCAGTGACACACATGGACACTCACTCACTCCTGCACAATAATAATCAGTTTTTAAATTGCCAGTAGCGCACAGTGAGACTTACTGGAGCACTGCCAGCTAAGTCACATTGTGAACAATGCCTGGTAACACCAAGGACAGATAATCTCAAGACACACCCAATCAGCATTGTTTTATTCAAAATGAGGAGCGACATCCTCCTCAAGTGCCCGCTATTTCTACTTCTTCCTCTGCCCACCGCCCTGGGGAGGAACTTCCTAACACTTCCCGACAGCCCCCACCCTCATCTCTCACTCTCATGATGTCCCCCTTGGTCTCTCATCACGGCACTCATTAACCTCTGCCTTCTAACTGGACACGCCAGCAACAGCAACTGCAATGTTGAAAAACCACCCATGCTTATATGCAGGGAAGTGCTTTGTGTCTAAAACACACAGAAGAGAAAATTCAAACAAGGAAAAAGGCTTATAAAACATCACCTGGAAGTCCGCCCCTTGGAGGCAACTCACTGTCAGAGCTTGGAGGATCTATCAGACCTTTCTGAATGCACATGACTTGACACGGACAGCAGCTGTGTTCTCCGACCACACAATCTGCTGCAGACATCTTTCTGAATCAGTGAGGGAATGTCTAGAACCGTGCCAGGCTCTTGCTGGCTGTGCGCTGTGGTGATATTTTATTTGTGCTTTGATAAATAAAGCTTGCCTGGAGATCAGGGGGGAAAGGCCAGCCATTTTAAGTAAACAAAGTCAGGCAGCACACGCCCTTAATCCCGATCACTTAGCAGGCAGGGTCTCTGTGTGTTCAAGGCCATACTAGGGAACAGAGCCAAATGTGGTGACACGCCGTTAATCCCAGTACCAACCATAGAGACCTGGAGGTCTGTACAGACAGGCAGTGACAAGGAAGTGAGGTAGCAGGACTAAGAGCCAATGAGAGGGCAGAACAGCAAGGCAATAAAAGCATGGGTAGACAGGAAGTAGCTCACATTTGGAAGCTGCAGAGATGATGAGGTAAGGTTGGCTGGTGGCTATTCCTATTTCCCTGATCTCTAAGGCTTTCATCCCTATGTTTGGCTCCGTGTTTTTTATTTAATAAGACCATTTAGAAATTCGTCTACAGTGCACTGCTCCAGCATCTAGTACACCAATAATTAACTTAATTCCCTTCCCTGAGACTACATCTACAAGTGTTCTCTAGCTAACTCTAGGAGTCTGCTTCTGTCTCCCTCAGTGCTGGGAATCAAACCCAGGGCCCTGCACACATGGAGCATGCGCTCGACGACTGAGCTGCACCTGCAGTCCTTTGTCTGTGATTCTCAGGACTCCCCTGCTGGTGGGAACCCTTCAGGCACTGGATAAGGGGTGCACAGATGCACCACTGCTGTGCGGTGGACATGGGCACCACCATAATTGGCCCCACACCTCACCTTCTAAAATAACACTTGCTGTTATATAGAAGTTCTGGTTGATTTTCTTTAAAACATGTTTGAAGGCTACTGCAGGAGGATCATGAGTTTGAAGGCAGCCTAGGCTATGCAGCAATCAATACCTTGTCTCAAAAAAAAAAGTTTTTGCCCATGGTTAAAAGATAACATTTTGAATAACTTGGAAGTGCGGTTGTAATACTAAAATAAGAATTTTATAGATTAGCTTTAAAAATACTCTTGAAGTCACATTTGCGTATGAGGCTTAAGTTTACAGAACATAACTTCAAGGAAACTCACCAGATACTTAAAACTGTCTCGTTCCTTGGTGACATTCTCCGCCAAGCCCACCAGGTGTGCTAGGTACTGGTGGGCAGACATCTCCTTCCCCATGGCCTTTTCCACCTGCTTTCTGAGGACATCAATTTTCTTTTGGTATTGCCTGCAGAGATCCCCAGTGGTGGGGAATGAAAACATGTGAGCCTGTGTAACTTGGGCAGGGTGAATATATGTACACAAATATATGCTTAGAAACCAGTATGTGGCCGGGTGGTGGTGGTGGTGGTGGTGGCGGTGGTGGCGGCGGCGGCGGCGGCGGAGGCACACGCCTTTAATCCCAGGACTCAGGAGGCAGAGCCAGGCAGATCTCTGAGTTCGAGGCCAGCCTGGTCTATAGAGCAAGATCCAGTACAGGCACCAAAACTACACAGAGAAACCCTGTCTTGAAAAACAAAACAAAAAACAAACAAACAAAAACCCAGTATGTGTGTATATATGTACATGTACACACACACACACACACACACACACATATATAATTTTAGTGTTTCTGAGACAGACTCCCTACATAGTCCTGACTATCCTGGAACTCACTGTGTAGACCAGGTTGGTCTCAGACTCACAGAGATCCACCTGTCTCTACCTCCTGAATGCTGGGATTAAAGGCGTATGCCTCCACACTTGGCTAGCAGTTAATATTTAAAAACTACACTCAGGGCCAGGGCGAGGATCAGTGATAGAGTGCTTGGCTAGGATGCACAAGGCCCTGGATCCCAACCCCTAACCCTACAGAATTAATTAATTAAATGCTACTGTCCAGCAGTACACATCTTCTTTTCAGTTTCGAAAAGTAAATGAATCTAACTTGAAGCCAGGTGTCCAGTTAACAAGACTCAAAGGTCAGCTGTGTGGGCATGCATGCCCACACGTGGAGACTGATCCAGGAAGCCTGCTAGAGGTCCAGGCCAGCCTGCCCTACAGTGTGGGCCCTGTCACAAACAAACAAACACAAAAAGAACAGCACGCATAAAATGCCTAGCAATAAGTCAGCTAATTAAATATTATTCTCCTAATTTTTTGACTTGTGTTTAAAAGATATTTTTGAAAATGGGATCCCACATGAAGACAAGAAGGGGATGTACTAGTGCGTGTGCAGGTGTGTGTGGTGTGTGTGTGTGTGTGTGTGTGTGATTGTGTGGTATGTGTGGTTTGTGGGTGTGTGGTATGAGTATGTGCCGGTGTGTGTGCAGGTGTATGTGTGTGCAGGTGTGTGTGTGATTGTGTGGTATGTGTGCAGGTGTATGTGTGTGCAGGTGTGTGTGGTGTGTGTAGGTGTGTGTGTATGTGTGATTGTGTGGTATGTGTGATTTGTGGGTGTGTGGTATGTGTATGTGCCGGTGTGTGTGCAGGTGTGTATGTGTGTGCAGGTGTGTATGGTATGTGTGGTTTGTGTGCAGGTTTATGTGTGTGCAGGTGTGTGTGGTATATGTAGGTGTGTGTATGGAGTGTGTGTGTTTTGTGTGTGTGTTTGGGTGTTGTGTGTGTGTGTATAGGTGAGGAAGGGAGGAGTTGATCAAGATCCAATGTACACATAAATGCATAATAAGTCAAAGAATAAAAGATATTTCAAAAACAATAAATAAATGTATAAGTATTAAAAACTGAAAAAGAAGAAAAAGAAAGAAAACTGGGATGTAGTAATGGAAAAACAGGCTTTGAGGAGGTGATAAGGAGACCGTCTAGAGCCCAGGGTTGCCATGTGGTTATCAATATCTGAACCACAGACTTGTGAACTATAGATATTCTGGTACTGTCCCTTTGGTTTATTTTCCATTTTACTGTCCTTATCAGACAAAGAGAAGATAAAGGGAATAAAATGAAGATAACAAGGAAATAAGATGCGTATTTGCGCGCACACACACCCCCCCTACCTGTTTGTCTTGCGCATGCGCTCTAGCTCAGCCTCGAGCGCTCTGTTTCTGCTGACCCAGCTGCTTTTCTGCAGAAGCAGGCTCTTCTTCTGCACCTGTAGGGCTGTCAGCTTTTCCAGCAGCTCCTCCATCTCAGCACTGTCTTTCTCTTCTTCCTTCCACAACTGGCTGAAGGACAATAAAGAGCAGACATGTATGGAGAGTGACACACACACAGTACAGTGTACAGTGCAGCCTGGGCACAGGGCACCATGGGCACAGTGCACCGTGGGCACAGGGCACCGTGGGCACAGTGCACCCTGTGTACAGTGCACCCTGGGTACAGCGCACCGTGGGCACAGTGCACCGTGGGTACAGCGCACCCTGGGTACAGCGCACCCTGGGTACAGCGCACCGTGGGCACAGTGCACCCTGGGTACAGCGCACCCTGTGTACAGTGCACCCTGGGCACAGTGCACCCTGGGTACAGTGCACCATGAGTACAGTGCATTGTGGGTATAGCACATGCTGGGTACAGTGTAGTCATGTAAAATCAAGTGGAACTAAAAGGAAGCAGATGGCCGGCAGCCAGATTCTAAGTCCTGGTGGACACCCAAAAAAATGCTCAACCAAAAGCTGAACAGCCGTCTGCTCCACGTCCCACACAGAGGGCCCAGGCAAGCTTCTGCTTTCAGAAAACACTCTCACCTTTTTAGTTCATTGACAATCGACGTATGAACGTCTACGGCGATCTTGCTGTCCAGCTGTGCTCTGAGTTCCTGGCATCTGGCCTGTAAGCTCCCCAGCTGCTCCTTGCTCTCCACCAGCTGCTGCTCCTGGCTCTGGGTCTTGGCCTCCAGGAGCACAAGCTGTTTAGTCAGCTTAGAAACTGGAAGGGAACAAGATCAAGACTTGGTACAGAAGACTCGATTAAAACATGAGTGTTAGCCAGGCATGGTGATGCACTCGGGTCTGAGGCAGGAGGATCATGAGTTCTGGCTAGAATAGGCCACACAGGGAGATCCTGTCTCAAAAAATTATTTTTAAAAAAGAAGAGAGGTAGGTGGGTGGTGGTGGCACTTGAGAGGCAGAGGCAGGTGGATCTCTGTGAGTCCAAGGCTAGCCTGGTCTACAAAGAGAGTTCCAGGACAGCCAGGGCTACACAGAGAAACCCTGCCTCAAACAAACAAACAAAAGGAAGGTAGGGATATAGCTCAATGACGTTCTGTTTGCCCAGCTTGCAAAGGCCCTACTGAAAAAATCAGTTAGCTACAAAAATGACCTTTTAGGGCTGGGGAGTGCTTGTTTCACATGCCTGAAGCCTCGGGTTCAATCCCCAACACTGCACACAAGAAAAAATAGAGCAGACTTGGTGGAACTCGCCTGTTACCCAGCAACTTGGAGGCAGAGGCAGTTGTTCCATGAGCAGGGACAGGAAACCGGGAGGCTCACAGCAATCAGAAGAGACAGCCTGATTCAGACTCTTGTCCTGTGACTCCAATCTTCAAGGAGAACTGGAGGGGGGGCGCTATTCTGGGGGCTCCTACTTTGTTTTAATCAAAGCAAGAGGAAAACTCTCAACTTGGCTCACTTTGGAGAGCACTGCCTTCTGCTATGGCTCTAGGAACAGGGAGGGACCCCATGGGCGAAGGGAAGCTCATGGGAAGTCCTGGAGAACCAGAGGTTTAACCTATGTGTCCTCAGCCTGACAAGAAAGGACCAATGGCGCAGCCAGAAGTGCTGGTACACACCTGTTACCCTTGCACAGGTAGAATCGGGAGGACTATGATCTCATGGCGCCCTGGGCTCTCTGGCACAGCCTGGACTACAGCCTGTCTCAAAACCCTAGGGTTAGGGATGTGTGGTGATCTGATTACAAATGGCTTCCATAGCCTCATATATTTGAATGCTTAGTCACCAGGGAGTGGCACTATTTGAAAGGATTAGAAGGATTGGGAGGTGTGGCCTTGTTGGAGGAAGTGTGCCTTTGCAGGTGGGCTTTGAGGTGTCAAAAGCCCATGCCAGGCCCAGTCTCTCTGTCTCTCTCTCTCTGCCTGTGAAAGCCCTCAGCTCCTTCTCTTGCACCATGTGTGTTCTACCATGCTCCCCACCATGATGATAAGGGACTAAACTCTGAAACTGCAGCAAGCCTCCAATGAAACGTTTTCTTTCTGAGAGCTGCCTGGTCATGGAGTCTCCTCACAGCAGTAGTGCACTGACTAAGACAGACTGTAACTCAGTGTAAAAGTGCTTCTTGGCATACTGGGGTGGGAGAGGATGGGAAGGGGGCACAGTAAAGTTCTACTTCTTTGTCCAGTCAATAAATATCTGAGAACACAGTCTTGGGTTGTTTCAAATGCTTCATTCTAGAACTTCTCCAACTTCCCAGACGCTACCCTACCCTACACTACAGCCTAACTTCAACTGATCCTACAAGGGATCAGAGATCACACATGCTGACAGCAGGGCCAACTGTGAGAATGCAGCCAACACCCCAGCTTGAAGTTCTGAAAAGGATGATCCCGACCCCCACCCGTCTAGTAGGACATCACTATCACTCACCTTCTTGGAGGTGCTCCTGGTGGGTGTCCCTGGCTTTTGTTTGCTGAATCTCCAACTGCTCTATCAACAGCTTGTTCTCATCTAGAACCAGCTCTGCTTGAGCCTGAAGCTGCCTCCTATGATTGATTCAAAAGATTAAACACTGTCCTCAGGTTCTGGGCAAGCACAGAAATGTGCCACAGTGTGGGTCAACACCTGGGCATGTTTTTGTGTTGACCATGTTAGTTACAGAGCAGATGCTGCCATGCGCAGTGAATGGGAGAAAGGGCAGCAATAATGCCTGATGATGGATGCACCAGCTACTACAAGAGGTGACAGTTCACGTGCACGCAAAGGCAGAGGTCAGAGGACTGCCATGTGCATGACACCCAGGTGACACAGCCACAAAGTGGCCGGTTGTGTTCCCTACACTGAAGCATCCGATCCCCACACCCAAATAATTGTTTCGAAACCCACATAACTTTTTTGGATGCTGGAAGATCCCATTTTACTTTGGAACTCTTCATGTTCATGGTAGCTACACCTACAAGTCCCAAGCATTCCTGAGGCTGAAGCGGGAGGGCTGCTTGAGTCCAGGACTTGAGGGCAGGCCTAGACAACTTTGTGAGACTTTAATGTCCCAAGAAGTAAAAATAAAATGCCGGAGAGATGGCTCAGAGGCCAAGAGCACTGGCTGCTCTTCCAGACGACCTGGGTTTGATTCCCAGAACCCACATGGCAGCTCAAAACCATCTGTAACTCCAGTTCCAGAGCATCCCATGCCCTCTTCTGGCCTCTAAGGACACCAGGCACACACATGGTATGTAGACAAGATATCACACATATTAAAAAAAAACATTTTGTAATTCTTTAAAAAACAAATAAACAAACCAACCCAGGTGTGTGCTACAAGCCTGGACTCTCAACCCTTGGGAAACTGCACAGGAGGAGCCTCTGTTGGAGGCCAGATTGGACCGGCAGTGACACGGCTTGAAAAAAAAAAAAGGAATGTTGTGCTGTGATCACTTAGAAACCTGTTCTTTTCTAATGAGAGACAGAAAAGGAGTGAATTCAGACAGAGAGGGTGGGGAAAAGAAAAAAGTAAGTAAATACTAAGAATAAACCAGGAAAAAAAAAAACCCAACTTATTAGATGGCTTTGAAATAGTGTCTTAACACTATACCACACCCCAGCCTTGATTTTTCCACGAGAAAGCCCCCCTATTTATGCGATGCATTGTAAATCGCGTATCAGTTCAACTTTCATAACTGAAAATTCCAGCCGGACGGCTGAAGGACCTTAGATGTTGCCTCATTAAATGTTTACTGCCCACAGTACAGCAGAAAGCAGAAAGCCAGGTGGAAGACGAGACAGCGAAGGTGCAGCCAGCCTAGGGGACAGTGACTGAGCATGCTGCCCGCACCCCCAGAGGGGGGCTGCCCAAGGGGCGCCACGTCAGCCTCCTCACTGCCCCCTCACACTGCTCCACCTCGGACTTTCCTTCCCGACATTCACTTGTTCCTCCGCCTTTTCTCAGCCCTTCCACCCTTCACTGTTTTCTGAGACAAGTATCCATATGAAATTCAGGCTGCCCCAAAACCATGATCCCCCTGCCTCATGCTCCCAAATACTTAGATGCCAGCAGGTGCCACCATGCCTGGCTCTCTTCCTTTTCTTTTACAGGGTCCTTTCTCCTACTTTTCAAAAGTAGAAAAAAATCATCCTGAGTGAGATGACCTAAACCCAGGAAGACAAATATGTATGTATTCACTTACACGCAGATATTAGCTGTTAAGTAAATGGTAATCAAACTAAAAATCACAAAGAGAGATTAGGTAACGAGGAAGGCTCTAGTGGGGGATGCACGGGTCTCTCTGGGAGGGGGAAATTTTGTGGTGAACTCAGGGAGGGCGAGGATGGGAGCAGGAAGGATGCAGGCTGGAGCGTGTGTGTGTGTGTGTGTGTGTGTGTGTGTGTGTGTGTGTGTGTGTGTGCAGTGGAGACTTCTGGAATCTAGGGGGGTGATCCTAGTGAGGACTCCCAGTAATGGAGGATGCAGATGCGGAGTCTGAACTGGCTATCTTTTATAGCCAGGCAAGGCTTCCAGGAGTGGGACTGGGTTACCTTTGGTTGAGTTGTTGGTTGTTGGCCAAGCGGGTCCTGTGGAGATCCCTCAACAACCCAGGCTGATGCTAGGACAGAAGGTCACTTTCTGGAAACCGACAGCAGGGGGCATTGCTGAGGACAACTTCCACACAGCTCACTGAACAGAGAGGTCAGGCTGGTGTGGGCTTGGAGCCTTCACCCCTACATTCTAGTCTCTTGGTGTGAGAAAGGACTCTGCAGGCTACAGAGAAACCTGGACACCAACCCAGCCACAAAACCCTCCACCTGCAGTCTGTCCTGCCTGCAAGATGTGCTGGGGCAATGGCGGTGCAGAACTTATGGCAGTGGCCAACCAATGTTTGCTTTAACTTGAGGCCCACGCCACAAGAGAGACAGCTCGTGCCTGATACTGCCTGGGTGGCCAGGAACCAGAGACTGGTTAGCCCCGAGAGCTACGGTAGAACCAAACGACTGGAAAAAAAACAATCAATGAAATGGAGGTCTCCATCAGGTCCCTCCTCTCAGAGATCAGGGAACCCTGCAGAAGAGGGGGAGGAAAGACTGTAGGAGTCAGAAGGGATGCAGCAGGATCCCAGAACACAGCCCACTGAATCAACTCCGTGGGGCTCACATGGGCTCACAGATCCTGAAGCAGCAAGCACAGGCCCTGCAGGGGTCTGCACCAGGTCCTCTGCAGATACATTATGGCTGTTAGCTTGGTGTTCTTTGAGACGCCTAACGGTGGGAGCAGGTGTGTCCCTGACTCTTGCCTGCTCCTGGGACTCTTTTTCCATAAGGCTGCCTCCTCCAGCCTCGATATGAGGGCTTGTCTTACTGTCTTTTGTCCTGTCTGGCTGTCCTCACTTGGAGGCCTGCTCTTTTCTGAGGAGGAAACCGAGGGGCAGTGGATCTGGGGGACAGGGGAGGTGGGGGGAGCTGGGAGGAGTGGACAGAGGGGAACTGTAGTAGGGTGTAGTGTATGAGAGAAGAGTATACTTTCAAAAAGAAAGTTGAAAACTTCAGATTTAACACTTTTCTGATACCCACTAAGCCTGAAGCTCCCCAGTCAGGAGAAATTAGGAATGTAGACAGTAGATGTGGCCAAGGACTTCACTGAGAAGGTCCTGGAACAGAACACAGAGATGCTACGCAAGGGTGCAGAGGGCCGTGCGTGCGGAACAGGGGGCGGCCAAGAGGCAAGGAAGGGGCAAGCTCACCTTCCTGAACAGCCACCAGAGGGAGGAGTTAAAGTGAAGGAACATGGATGGGGAAAGGCACGACCTGGGCCTGGCACTGGGAGTCCAACAGGGGAGTCACAGCGCACCAAGGACTGCAGCGGCCCAAGCCACCCCAGGGACACATCAGTGCCCACAAACTCAGAAGAGCCAGCCTGATGGTACGACACATGCCTGGACACTGAAGAGAAACTATTTCATTTTTTTCCAGTGACATTCAGACATTTAGAACATACTAAACTTGCCTGTCCTTGTAGTATGACCTCTGATTCCCATGAGAGACAGTCTGGGCTGTTCAAGGACAGCCTGTGTAAGGGCTAACATTATGTTTTAAGTTTAAATTACTGTGCTTAAGAGATCTATAAATCAAAAAATGCCTCTAACTGCAAGCCCCATTTGCCTAAGGACAGATAACTTCCTGGAATTCTGGGGCTGTGTAGAGAGCCGTGCACGGCCGCGCCTCAAAGATGGCACTGGCATCCGGCTTCTGCCTTCCCGATGGCAGGTGATCCTTATTTGGCTAAGGCTAGGATCTGGCTTACTTCCGCACACCTGGACCTAATCTGGCTTGCTTGTGTATGTCTGACCCTATCGGCATTGTCCACGTGGCACTACGGGGTTGGTTGTCCAGTGGCTATAAAGGGCGTGGGCTGGCTTTCCCCAGGAAGAAGATCGGAGGGGAGAGAGATCGGAGGAGATCAGAGTGAGAGAGAGAGAGAGAGACTGAGTGAGTGAGTGAGTGAGAGTGAGAGAGAGAGAGAAGAAGAAGATGGCTTTCCCCGGGGTCAGAAGATTGTTCAAGGTTCCTGAATAAACTGCTTGGAGAAGAGCCTGGGGTCGCGTCTTCCTTGCTGGTCGAGGCAGACGCGACAGGGCTGTTATTCAGGCAAGATAACAAGACACATGTTTTCACTTCTGTAAACAAGCTTGGTTGCCCCAACTACACAGGACGTGCTTGATCATACATAAGTGAGAGGTACATAGGCAGGAAGTACATCAGGATACATGCTTGCCCCGACTGGATGAAGGTGGGAAGTATGTGGGTAGCCTTGTGGGTTTTTCCTTTATAAGCCCCTGACTAATGTAATTCAGCACCATATTCTGGGAATCCCGGGCATGGACCTGGCCAGTGTTCATTGTCTTGACTAGTATTTAATAAACCTTGCTTCCAATTTGGTTCAAAAATTGTGGCATTGGTCTTATTCTCAGCTGGTGGGTTTAATACTTGGTGTACATGGAGTTCTAGTCTCAAGAAAGAAAGAAAAAAAGATACTAAACACAACATACCCACTAAAGGCTAATCATTTCTGTTTTCATAGTTTCAGCTGGAAACTCTCTAGACTTGCGTGGCTTTGTTGCTGCTGTGTGGGATTCTGGGGTGGGGGTGGGGTGCCACAGAGCTAAGAGGAGAAGAAAAGGAGATGGGTAAGAGGGCAGGGACAGAGGGGTGTGTGTGAGGTGACAGAGAGCAGACAGAGAGGGCAGCCGTGGCCAGGCCTTCCTGTCCACAAGCCAGCTAAGTGTGCGGGGTGACAGCCTACAGGAGCTGCTTCAGACACAAACACAAACGGGCAGGGCCAACTTAGAAAATGTAGTTATTCATTTGCTTACTCATCTATTTTTGCTTTTTTGCAGTGTTACAGACTGAACCCAAGACCTTGGTTGGGAACAAAGTACTCTACCACTGAGCTGTAGGCCCAGGGCCATATTTAAAATGTTTTTCTTGTTTTAGTTTGTTTGGAGATAGGGTCTCACTATATAGCTTGGCTGACCTGGAACTCCCTATGTAGACCAGGTTGGCCTCAAACTCACAGAAATCCTCCTGCCTCTGCCTGAGTACTGGGATTAAAGGTTGTACCACCACACCTGGCAAATAATAATGATGATGATGATGATACCAACTCAGAGCTAGGTGTGGGGGCATGTGACTGTGGCTGAGCACTTGGAAAGACGGAGCCCTGCAGAGTTCAAGGCTAGTTTAGAGCTACACAGTGTGACCTGTCTTCCAAAGCTGAGGGTTAGGGATAAGACTCGGCGGTCGAGCATTTGCCCAGCACAGCCTGAGGCCCCAGGTTCCATCCTCAGCACTTCAAAGAGTAAAACCAAACATCTTAAAGTCCAATTTAGAAAAGTTCACTGGGGCTGTATCTTATTCACGTCTTAGAAATTCTTCCTTTTTAAAAATTTTATAAACAATTGGAAAACTGCTAAGTTTTTTGCACCCCAATAAGCCTCTCTGCCAAGGCAACAATCCATATTAAACCAAATCAGACCGAATTAGAAAAAGCCCCGATTTAATAGATAAAACATTCCCAGGTGATTCTCCAGCTCCCCAGAGAGGAGACAGAAAACCACATGTCTGTTTTCTAGGATGCAGCTTAAATACCCTGTGGGAGTGGTCTCGAGCCTCTCTGGGGGAGGAGCCGTGTTTGGTGGGCTTTGAAGGGGCGGGTTTGGGAAAAGAGATGGAGGAGGGGTGCCTGGACGTCTTTCTGTATGCTGTGAATATGTGTTGCTCTGATTGGTTAATAAATAAAGCCATTTGGTCTATGGCAAGGCAGCTTAGAGGCAGGCAGGAAATCCAAACAGGTAGACAGGAAGAGAAAGGAGAGGCAAGGCAGACGCTGCAAGCCGCCGCCAGGAAAAGCAAGATGTAAAGGTACTGGTAAGCCACAAGCCATGTGGCAAAGTATAGATTTATAGAAATGGGTTAATTTAAGATACAAGAGCTAGCTATACAGTTTGTAATTAATATAAGCTTCTGAGTGATTATTTTATAAGCGGCTGCGGGGTCTGTGGGGCCGGGCAGGACCGGAGAAAACTTCAACTATGGGAAGGGAGTTGAGGTGGATCTTCCATAAGAATATTCCAGACTCTTTGGGTATAGGATGCTAGGGTGCCAGGGGCTGAGGTGGAGCTCCCACTCAAACAAAAACCTCGCAAACAAATAAAAACACCCCACACCCAAATTAACTGGACTGTGAATGCATGGAGTGGACATGAACTGTTGAAGAGATATAAAACTAATGGTTTTTCTTGCTCTAATTCTGTCATGGTCTTTTTGGTTTTGGTTGGTGGATACCTGCATAAAATATATTGGATACTGAAAATGTAAATTTCAACATGTAGCTCCAAGCTTCCGCCCTGAATGCCTACTCTAAGGTCACAGAGTTTCACTGAGTTATACAGGCTTTGGGTAAAGTGCTTAATTTAGAAAACAAAGTGCATCTATGTATCTGGCGATGTCAGGAAGCCTGTCCCTACTATGTTGTAAGTTAGCAAACACCACTTGCCATTCCTCGCTGGTGACGGGGCTACTCTGATTTAACTGCTGATGCAAGCCTTCATTTTCTCTCACCACCTCCTGGACTCGCAGCCTAAAGGTTTTCATTTCCTCCTGAAATGAGATGCATGGAAACCGTCACGCACGTGCACACATTCGGTATCGGCTGGGACGCTGTTCTTGGGGAAATCAAATGTAACAGTCACGGTGACAGCAGAGTCCTGCTCTAGCACCAGGCTTAGTCTCTGGGTTCTGCTCAGGAGCACAGACCTGAGACAACAGCCAAGTCACTGCAGGGTCGCTGCACACAGGGACAAAGAACCTGGGTTTTAAGTTGTCGGCTTCTAACCTGATGTCACTTTGCTGTAATTGGCAAAATAATTGAAAATTTTAAAGGAGGGAGTTAGAAGAAAAACAAAACAAAACAACCAGAGACTGAAAAGTTTGCTTTGTTTAGACTTTAGAGGGTACATTAGAGTTTTTGTTTTGGTTTGGTTTTTGGTTTTCAAGACAGGGATTCTCTGTGTAGTCCTGGCTGTCCTGGAACTCGCTCTGTAGGTAAATTGGAGTTTTTACATAAACAGAATTTTCGGTCCTAGATGAAAGCTTGCGTGAGCAGGTGAGGGTGCTAGTGTGGAGGTGCCCTAACCTTGTCCTGCAGAGCACAGGAAGTCCCAGCTCAGAGGCATCACCTTGCTCAGCCAGACTCCCTGGCCAGAACACACTCGCTTGCTCCCGGCAGTCTGCACGGCTCGCTCTTTATATTTTTTAACTGTCTTGTCAGACTGAAGCCATCAGGCCAGCTGTTTGTTTTGGCTGAGTCCCACCTGTCACTGGCAATGCGTCCCATGGCTTCTGTCATGCTACAAAAGTAGATTGAGCATATGTGGTCAGAAGCTGCATGGCTCACAAAGCCTGCAATATTTATTAATTGGGTTTTTATAAAAAATGTGGGATGACCCAGACTTAAAAAGGGCATCTAAATGGAAATTTTATTATTACTTTTTTGATCAGTGAACACAAGATAGTTAATGCTCTTAAAGATCCAATGTCCATGGGGCTAGAGAGATGGCTTAGTGGTTAAGAGCATTGATTGCTCTTCCAGAGGTCCCAAGTTCAATTCCCAGCAACCACATGGTGGCTCACAACCATCTGTAATGGGATCAGATTCTGGTGTATATATAAAATATATGAATAAATAAGTCTAAAAAAAATCCAATGTCCAATAGTATGTCATAAGGTTTCTTGAGATGGGACAGGTAATGGGAAGCATGACTGAAGACCAGGCTGTTGGGCTCTTAAAGGACCTGTCCCATTCAGCATTCCCTAAAGACCAACTCTTCTCTCCCTGGATCCTTCCAATACCTGGCCCCATAGTGAAGACCTCAGAAGCGTGAGGCATAGAAGGGCCCAGGGGGGTTAATAATGCCCAGGTCTAGTCTCCTTGGAGTTGAAATGGATGCCGTTCTCAGGAAATAGTGAAATGGACAAATCCTTGTTTTTAATACTGCTGACAACTCGATCACAATGCACCTCTGGGGTCAGTGCTTCCTGGGACCCCAGAGCATTAGGATTCCCTAAAACACCCTGGGCATGGTCTCAGTGTGGCCCAGCATCTGCTCTAGCGCTGGCGTCCACAGCTGCACAGTCATGGATGACGTACAGTTCTTCCTTTGCCTCCCAAGACTGCCACTCTCGTGGACTACCTGTCCCCAGACCACAGCTTCTCAAAGCCACTGCATCCCCGCACACCTCTCCTCCAAACACCACCCACCCACCCATCATGCTCTGCCAGACCCACCTTCCTCCTTCTCCACCTCTTTTCCCCCAGCCATCCTACACACTCCTCCATTCTTCAACAAAGGCTGGAGTATACACCGCCTTAGGCACGGTCACGTCTGAGCTGTTTCTGCAGTCTGAAACAGCTCGTCTCTGAGACATCTGCCCACCTACCTCCAGCGTGCTGTTCAGTTTGTCCTTCTCTTTCATTCTGTCCTCATAAGCCAGCAACAGTGGGGAGAGGTACTTTATATCCAACTGCGGGTGGAGTAATGAAATAAAGGATGGTTAACAGAATTTCTTAGACTGAAATACAACCATCATGGCTTCTGGGTTTTTGTTTGCTTTTTTCGGGACAGGGTTTCTCTGTGTAGCCCTGGCTATCCTGGATTTTCCCTGTAGAGCAGGGTAACCTCAAACTCAGAGATCCACCTGCCTCTGCCTCCCAAGTGCTAGGATTAAAGATGTACACCACCACCACCCAGCTCATCATGTTTTTTTAAAGGGCAAGAAAGCAACTTATTCTGGAATGGTTTTTAGTAGTTTGACAGAGCCAGAGAATATGGGCCTGAGATCAACTTTCACTTACCAACCAGGGGGGTGTGGGGCCCTTTGATGGGAGGCCTTCGATTTGGGAACACTGAAAATAAAGCACACATTGAAGACACCGTCAAGCTGTCCCTGAAATGCCATGGGGTAGACAGACATTCTTATCTTAGTCTAGAACAGACATCATCCTTCTCTGTGCGCATGTGTGTGTGCATATACATGGGAAGTGTTTGAGAGCAACACCCTCATCCCCTAAATACTGCAACATGTTTCCTAAGAACAAAACATCCGTTTAGTTAACAAAGTACTGTGTAAAAATTAGGAGATAACACTGACACACAACACTATTACAAACATTCAGACTATCTCCGACTTCATGTTTCCACATGAAGAGAAAGAAAGGAATGATGGGGAAAAGAAAGGAGGGAGGGAGGGAGGAAGAAAGGGAAGGAGGGAGGGAGGGAGACAGTGACATTCTCCTTTGGCCTCTTCATGTGTACCCATGCATGAACACCTACACACACACACACACACACACACACACACACACACACACACACACACACACGTTCTGCCTTCCCAAAATAAGTAAGAGGGAGATCACATCTGGAGAGAGGGACTAGGAAAAATGTCATTGAAAATGTGGCATTTGCATAGATCAAATGAAAAGTGTATGGAGCGGGGATGCTGCAGTACCAACAGAGGTGACAATAAGTTGTCACTGGGCCCACTTGCTTTGCCCCACCCACAGCCCAACAGAAGGACAAAGTCTAGGCAATGTGTTTTGGATCGTGTGAACTCCCCCAGATTAATTTTATTATTAAAAAGTTAATGCTGGGAGCTGGTGTGGTGATGCACGCCTATAATCTCAGCACTTCGGAAGCTGAGGTGGGAAGCTCCTGCTGCAAGCTGAGGTCGGCCTGAGCTTCATAGTGGGTCCCTGCTTGGGCTACAGTCGGAGACCCTTTCTTAGAAATAAATAAGTAATATTGGAGTTAGTAGAGTGCCTGCCTAACATGTACAAGGACCAGGGTTCAATTACCAGCATCACTAAAAAGGAAAGATTACTATTACGCAAAATGAAAGAAATCAGTCACAAAAGGCCACCCATAATGCAATTGCACTTCTATGAACTGTTCAAAATAGGCAAATCTCCAGAATTAGAATGTAAATCAGGACAGATGTGGGGCACACCTTTATCTCTGTGAGTCTGAGGCCAGCCTGATCTATGGTGAGGTCTAAGAAAGCCAGGGCTATGCAGAGATATCCTGTCTCAATAAACAAACAAAATAAGAAAGTAAACCAATAGTTTCCAGGGGCTGCTGTAGAGGAAGTGCATGCTGGGAAAACAGGGTGGATTTGACGGGCATGAAATGTCCCGATGGGGTGTAAGTCTGGATACATTAACTCATCAACTGTACACATGAAATGGCAAGATTCAGTAGGGGAGGTGTGAACACCTGCAGTCCCAACACTCCAGAGGTAGAGACAGGAGGATCAGGAGTTCAAGGCCAGCCTGGGCTACGTGAGACCCTGTCACATAAAAACAAAACCATTAATGAATTAATTAATTAATTAAATGGGTGTTAAACAGACAATCTCAAGTCAAATGCTGCAAAATACTAACTTTAAAAAGATGTCTTTTGGGGCTGGAGAGATGGCTCAGGGGTTAAGAACACTGGTGCTCTTCCAGAGAACCTCAGTTCAATTCCTAGCACCCACATGGTGGCTCACAACCATCTGTAATGAGATCTGGTGCCCTCTTCTGGACTGCAGGCATACATGCGGACAGAACACTGTATACATAATAAATAAATAAATCTTTAAAAAAAAAAAGATGTCTTTTAAGGTTACCCATCAAGTAAAGTCCATGAAATACTCAATAGCTTCAAAATCTAAAATACATCTAATCTCAAGCATTTTTGTTTAAGGGATACTCAACCTGTATGTTAAAGCTGTATTAAAAAAAAAAAGAGTTAAAAGAAAGTCAGGGGTTGGGGGTGTAGTTGGTGTACAGTGCTTATCGAGAATGTAAAAGGCCTTGAGTTCATCTCCAGTACATTTAGAGACAAAAACAAAAATCTCCAGAGCCCTACAGGCAGGACTCACAGAAACCCTCCTGAGGGGAGAATGCTGTGTCTGTGTCTGCCCTCCGCAGACCACAGCTAGAGACAGTCAGTGATGTGTTCTGTGCCCTGAATGTCTGCACCTTCCCCACCCCACCCCCATGTCCCGGAGTTCTCTAAGAGCAGAGGCCAGGCCTCCTGCCTTATCTTGGATGCTAGGAGCTTATTCAGCAAGTCTATGGACTTGGGCCCTGTGCTCACTGGAGTAAAAATCCATTGACTTTCTAGAACAGTGATAACTCTGAGGAAAGGGGCTGAAAATGGAGCAGCTGATATGAACCTTTAACCCTTTACTTTACATGTTCTGGCACTGCCCAGTGTTTCATAGGCTCTTTACTGCCTCCATTATGGGTTAGGATGAAGGAGGCAGAATGTCCTGTGCTTTGGTTCCTTCTACGATTTGAGTCTGAAATGCTGCCACGGCTCAGGCTCGAGGACTTAGTTGCTAGCTGATGGGGCCATCTGCAGAGGCTGAAGAGCTGCAGGGGGTGGGGCCCAGCGATAAGATATAGGGCCATGGACAGGCCTGCTACCAGGCTGGCTCTTAGCTTCCTGATCTGCAGAGATGTAACAAGTCGGAGCAGATAAGGAACATATAAACGGAAGCATTTAAAAGTCACTCAGAAAGAAATATAGGTGGCCACATCAATCACACATTTCCATTTGCACATAGGGTTTCTGAAAGAAAGACGGAGAAAAGTTTTTTTGGAAACTTTTATAGTTAATGCATTGGAGCCCGGAGGTGGTGCTGTGGAGGGGACTGGGAAACAGCAGCAGTGCAGCCGAGTGGGAGAGAGAGCAGGCACTCTCAAGTGAGGCTTTTTTTTTTTTTTTTCCCAAGACAGGATTTCTCTGTGTAACAGCGCTGGCAGTCCTAAAACTCACTCTGTAGACCAGGGTAGCCTCAAACTCACAGAGATCCACCTGCCTCTGTGTCCTGTGTACTGGGATTAAAGGTGTGTGCCACTACTGCCCAGAGACAGGGTCTCACTATGTAGACCAGGCTGGCCTCAAACTCACAGAAATCCACCTGTCTGTCACCCAAATGCAGGGATTAAAGGCATGAGCTACCAAAAACCCCTCAAGAACCAGAAATCAATTCAACAGTAAAGGCTAAAGACAAACTGTTTCTTCATGTTGGAAACATTACCTCTTCCTCAGATAAATGCCTGAATTTTGTTTGGTAGCGACTGAGTTCTACATTCAGACGATGGACAATCATCTTCAACCCCCTGTTTTCATCCAGCAGGTCTTGGTTTTGCTTCCTTAGGCAAAGTAATTCAGGTGTGGCTACTGAAAAACATCGACTTCATATCACACAACAATCAATCGTATCAAAGTCACCCAGATTTTATATAAGCTAGTAGTTGATCTTTTTGTTCCCTTGTAGTGAATTGTACATAAATATATATAATGTCTATACATATAATTTATATAAATAAGTTATGACATTTAATAAAAATGATACAGTAGATAAAAATCAAAATTCAATAGGCATAAGGGTATTAATGAAGGATCTTAAATATTACAACATAAATATCGACCACACATCGACATAAAACAGGAAGTAGATTCTCAAAGTGAAAAGTGCATAAAGCCCCGACTGTCCCTTAGCAGTAACACCGAGGACGCACCTTCCTGAGAGGCTGCCTTTTCTGCCTCCTTCAGCCTCCGGCTGTCCTTCCCCGCTCTCCTAAGCTGCAGCTGTAACTCCCTCATTGCTTGTCTCATGGCGCTCAGTTCCAGGCTAAGGGACTGGTTTGCAGCGTGTAGATGCACGGTTTCTTCTTTTAACTCCTCAAACTTTTCTTTGGTCATTTCTGTATATCTTTGATGTACTCTCCCAGCTACATCTAAAGGGTACAGAAGAAAGGCAGACATAACAACGAAAGTGACCACTGTGCATCAAAACACTCGACACTTTATTCCAAAAGCCACGGAAGCAACAAGTTCACATTAGGCCCGGGGCGTGTCCCTGGTGTCTGAAAAGTCTGGGTACCCAGGGGAAGGAAGAGGGGGGCCAGGGCCAGAGGAGGCAGGGAGGAGCTTCTACCTGCAGGCTTAGCATCCTTTTTTTGACTACCAGGGAAACTCTCCAGCTACAGGTAACCCTTCTGGATAGTGACTTAGTAACCCACTAGCCCCCACCAATTCAAATGCTAATGACACTCTCAGATAGCGTCTGAGCAAAAGCTGAGCTTTCCTGGCCCTGCCGCTAACCCACCTGCTCAGTGCATCTGGTAAAAGCCTTGGTTTCCAGCTGTGCCTAGAGACTATAAAGTTCCTATAACTGCTTCCATACTGGAAAATGTCGACCCATGTTCTCAGGCCCAGGTCACTCACAGCTCAGAATAAATGACCTCTTCTCCCCTGTGAGGAGAGAGCTGAGTTCACAGCAGATGTGTGGCTCCTGTGTGTTGTGTGTTGGCCAAAGGCCTACCACATAAGGTGGCTACTTATGTAGGGGACTCACCTGACTCTAAAGAGAACATGTGTCCCTCCCTCACTTTGACTTTTTTTTTTTTTTTTGGTTTTTCGAGACAGGGTTTCTCTGTGTAGCTTTGCACCTTTCCTGGATCTCACTCTGTAGCCCAGGTTGGCCTCAAACTCAATGAGATTCACCTGCCTCTGCCTCCTGAGTGCTGGGATTAAAGGTGTGCGCCACCTGGCCTGTGTCCCTCACTTTGGCTATTAGACCATGCAAGCAATGGCCCCCAGTGAATGGGAAATCCCCACAGGAATCTCATGCTGAAGCCTAGCACAGCAGAGAAGGAGCCAGAGACTTCACAGCAGCTTGGCCATGCTAACTCTGGCCTCTACTTAAAACCTAGCTTTGGGTCAGGACCCTGAGGCTGGGCTTGTGTTTTGGGGGTAGTCACTGGAACTCTTTGTCCCTCTTCTTAAAGTGGCCATACTGAATAAATCTTTTTCTTCTTTTTCCTATGAATTTGACTCTTTTCAATTTTATTATTATTGTGTATACAAGATGTGTGTATGTCAGGTGTGGATACATGTGTGATAGTGTGCATGTGGAGGTCTAAGGAGCCTACTCAGAACCTCTTGCTGAAAATCAGTGTGATGTACACCCTAAATTCAGATAGGCTGCACAATGGACTACTCCCAGTGGACAAAGAGCCTGAGAACCAGAAGTCAGGTGTTGTACTCGTTTCGAGAAACCCCCAAAGCCAACCAAGGAGCCCGTTTCCAATGCAAGCACATAAGGGTCCTTTTATTCAGGTTCAACCTGGGCCACCACACGGCAGATGGAAGGAAATGTGGCGGTGACCACGAACCCAGGTGTAGAGAGTTTTTATAGGGAAAAACCACAAGCCGGGAATTACAAGCTTGGGATCAGGCAGAAGGGATATGGGGCAAGGTGATTTTTTGAAACTATTGGTCTAGACTTTGGGCACGAAACCACATTTGAAACCATTGGGTTAGACTTTTGGCGGGGAACCACAACCTGCTGAACAGGATTGTCTGGATCTTGTAAAACTTTACTACCCTGTATCTATTCGAGTTGTCATGGCACATTCCTGAGATTCTTCCTGGAACTGAGTACAGCACGTAATCTGAGATGGCGGCCCTTTCCCTAAGATGGAGCCTGTAAAGTCAAGTCCAGACCTTCACACAGGCACCAGCACTCTCTCAGAACACAGAACCAAAATCCCCAAGAAAGAGCAAAAATGAAGTCAATCCAAGTAAAAGACAAAATAATACTTTCAGATGAGTGATGGGAGACGTAATAGCCCCACACTACAAATCCACTCTGAAAGCTACTGCTGCTTCCCACCTGTACAGGAGGTCAGCCTCAAAAAGCAGCAGGCCTCAAGCTGAGCCCTCGTTTCTATGTACCAACATCCAGGCCTCCAGCACACTCCACAGGGCCACCTCCCACACAAGGACTCAACACATCCCACAGGCCCACCCTCACCCCAGTCCTGAGCCCTCCCCACAGACCCACCCTCACTCCAGTCCTGAGCCCTCCCCACAGGCCCACCCTCACTCCAGTCCTAAGCTCTCCCACAGGCCCACCCTCACTCCAGTCCTGAGCTCTCCCACAGGCCCACCCTCACCCCAGTCCTGAGCTCTCCCACAGGCCCACTCTCACTCCAGTCCTGAGCTCTCCCCACAGGCCCACCCTCACCCCAGTCCTGAGCTCTCCCCACAGGCCTACCCTCACCCCAGTCCTGAGCCCTCCCCACAGGCCCACCCTCACTCCAGTCCTAAGCTCTCCCACAGGCCCACCCTCACCCCAGTCCTGAGCTCTCCCACAGGCCCACCCTCACTCCAGTCCTGAGCTCTCCCACAGGCCCACCCTCACCCCAGTCCTGAGCTCTCCCACAGGCCCACCCTCACTCCAGTCCTGAGCTCTCCCCACAGGCCCACCCTCACCCCAGTCCTGAGCTCTCCCCACAGGCCCACCCTCACCCCAGTCCTGAGCTTTCTCACAGGCCCACCCTCACTCCAGTCCTGAGCCCTCCCCACAGGCCCACCCTCACTCCAGTCCTGAGCCCTCCCCACAGGCCCACCCTCACCCCAGTCCTGAGCTCTCCCACAGGCCCACCCTCACCCCAGTCCTGAGCCCTCCCCACAGGCCCACCCTCACCCCAGTCCTGAGCTCTCCCACAGGCCCACCCTCACCCCAGTCCTGAGCCCTCCCCACAGGCCCACCCTCACCCCACTAATACTCAGTGACTAACACCTTCCTCAAACCTAATCACAGGGGCTTCATGAGGAGTTGTAAACTTTCCTCAGATGAGACTATCCTAGGTTCTCTGCAAACACTAAGCATGCCCAGTGTAGTGAACTCCAAAAAGCCAGTACCTGGAGAGGGAGGAGGTTTTTCACGTAATGGCACTTTCTCATCCTAAGGAAGAAAAGGCAGAGTATGAGACAGTGTGAGCATCTCCCACAGTGGACTGGCACTGAGTGAGGCCTGTGGGTGGAGGGAGAAGCTTCCTCTTCCCTTGGCTCCTAAGGGTCTTTCTTTAGCCCCCACTGTTTTCTTATAACCAAAGAGCATACATTCAGGGGCAGCCCCTCCTGGTGGGCTCTCGTCTTCTGTCTTTGCCTTCATGCTCAGTGACTGTATCTTCACTGAAGGTCCATTCACTTTGTATATGAAGCATGTGACATACTGTGAGTGCTGGACCCTAAAGAGGACCCACTGACTCTAAAGCGGGGCTCACTGCTGAGAAAAAAGGTCACGCATGCCTCTCACTCTGGAAACTTAGAAGTAAGAGCAGGCTGGGAGCTGCCACTGACTTTCCCATTATGTATAGATATAGTGCTGAGACTTTAGTTCCTGCTGAAAATGAGGGTGTAAGTCTTCTGAGAATCATAGAGTAAGCTTTTGTTTTGTTTTCTGAGACAGGATCTGTGTTTGTAGCCTATCACCCGTGAACTCATGATCCTGCTGCTGTGATGAATCCCAGCTGCTGGGGTTACAGCTATGAACCACCACATCTGGTGAAAAATGTTTAACTTCTACATTCCTAAATATAGACTTCAGCATGGACTTATTTCTGTGTTTCCAACTTGGTTATTAAACTGCCTACCATTCGAGGAATCACGGAAGCGATTTCTTGCTTTTCCGAAGTCGTCTCCATGACTAAACTTTGGAAGAGGGGCAGTCCCTTCTGTTTTAAGAGTATCAGGTGAGGGCCAGGTGTCAGGTCCAAAGGAAGGTCACTCCCCTCTCCCAGGAGCCAGAAGGGACAAATGGTTAACAAGGGTGCCTATTAGCATACCAAAGCACATGCCTGGTAGCAGGCTCCCTCAGTACCACAAGTACCTAGCTCTTCTCACCTCTTTCCTACCTTAAACTTCCTCCAGCTCAGGGGCTTCCCTCCCCACAACTACTCAACTCTCTTGATAACCCCGTTATTTCAGCGATACCCTGTCTTGGTCTCACGCTCAGTCTCCCACTCTCTTGGTCCTCTCTTTGTCTTCATCTCTCACTCTCCACACGTCTCTCTCCCTCTCTCCTCTCATGGCCAAGTCCAGTCTGCTGGCCATGTCTAGTCTACTACTTTCTCTCTCTGCTCTGGTCTCTTCCAGATGCCTCTAGCTGTTCTCTCCCTCCTAGCTACAATAAAAACCTTCCCCTTAACCACACCATGAAGCAGTCATGTTTATACAACAGGGATGTAGCTAACCCATAATGCACTTGCCTAGCAAGCACAGGGCACTCAGTTCAAGACCCAGTACCTCAAAATATTAGTGTGCACAAGTGTGTGTGTGCGTGTGTGTGTGTGCACGCGCGCGCGCATACGTGTGTATACGTATGTGTACATGCACACACGTATGTGTGTGTGTGTAAATGTGATGTTAAAATGGAGCCCCCACAGATACTAATAGGCACCCTACAGAGACACTGTCTACTCAAGTCCCTAGCAGCACCCTGGGGCCAGGATTTCACCTGGGAATTGAGTTTACGTCCAAGTGGGTATGACCACATATCCTGCTACCCACCCCCTTCCCTGCCTCCAGCCTGGGAATGAGAGAGCCCAGCTGCAGGCTTGTGCTTCAGCGCCTCCCCCATCCTTAGACTGATATAAAAAGGGGACCCCACTTTTGCTATGTGGGCTCTGATTCCCCACTTTGGAGACGCTGGCATGCTGTCTGTCTCTTGTACTTAGGTCTGAACCCTCCTTGGAGCTCTGATGTCCCTGTCTGTCTGTCTGTCTGTGCATGGCATTCACAATTCTAATAAACCCCTTACTCCCCAGTAGTCCATCTCAGTGTCCCTCTTGAGTCACCCCCCCTCTAAAACCTCACCACAGAAGGGGGGATTCAATGAAGCATGCAGCAGGAAAGTTCTTATGAGAAGATCTTTTCACATAAGTGTGCTATTATGATGAAGTAAAAGATCATACATCAGGATTATGTAGGATCGTGATATCATGTGTGTATGTATTATTAAGTTGGTTTCTATCCAAGGACACAGGGGAACTGAACATGTATGTACAAATCAGGAATGGAATCACAGTACTGAGTCAGGGACAGAAGTCACATGGCTTGAAAAAAGAAAGAAATCAAAGACAGACAAACGATAGCACACGTCAAATTTTAAAATAGGAATTCTTGAAAACAAGCTTACCTCTAGATTCAGAACAGAGTATTTACCATCTGGTTTAAAAAGGAAAAAAAAAGAAAGTTTTAAAAGCATAAGAAATTTGACACACTAGAACATACTCAAGAACTCGACTTACCTTGTCCCCAAGCATAGAAAGAACAGGATCCCCACAAGGCCGTGGCGACCTTGACCTTGACTGGGCCATCTCTCTGCCCTGCTCATTTCAGAGTCTCTGCAGTGGCTTCCATGGTCCCAGAACCACAGCCAAACCCCTCAGGGAGTTCAAGACCCTGAGCCTCCCACGCTATGATCTTCCCTACCTCCCTAGTCACGCTTCTCCTGCTGGCCAAGACAGCCGACCCGACTCCATCCTGCCCCCCATGGTTACAGGAGCACACAAATTAAGTCCTAAAATAGCAAGCTGCCTCAGAGATATAGGTGGAAAACAGATTTGGCAGGACCTCATCGTTGTGTGGTAACTGAGGTACCCCAGGAAGAGGGAGGGCCTCCACTCCACTTTGCTGACAATTTCTCTAGTGGCAAGCTGGAAACCTAGGTTGCTTCTAACGTCCCACCACTGATCTGAAGAGTAACTCTGAGAAACAGGAAACAACAAAAATCCAACCCTCTACAGGGTTCAAAAAAATTCACTAAGAAGCTTAATGCCCTTATCTTTTTAAATCTACTTTCCAACTCAATAAAATCCCTAGTAGCTGAACCATCACCACTGATTTGAACAGTTCAGTTCTGTTGTTTTTAAGATGGGGTCTCACATAGCCCAGGCTGACTCTGAACACTCTACTGAGCCAAGGATGACCTTGAATTCCTGCCCTGCCTCCACCTCCCAAATGCTGGGATTCCAGGTGTGTGCCACTACACGCAGCTCTAACCCAGGGCTTTGCAAATCCTAGGCAGACACTCTACCAGCTGAGGTGCGTCCCAGCTCCATTAGAAATGGTTTTGAACCAGTTGCTTTCAGCCAGATGTCATGGGACAGCCTAGACCACCTACATGCATCTGGCACATGGTGACAGCCAGCTCTGTGTCTGAGTGCAGCTTTGTTTCCTGGCGACTTTCTCTACCTGGCAGGTGCCACCATCCTCCTGTGCTGGTCTTTGTGTTCCCGTGTTACCTGCCCTGACACTCTGGACACCTCCTCTACAACTTGAACACGAGGGGATGAGCCCATGGATGCCCCATGGGAGTGTTGAATTTGCTTATTATTACATTTATGTGTGTGTGTGTGTGTGTGTGTGTGTGTGTATACACAATCTCAAATCCTCAAGCAAGTGCCTTTAATCACTGGGCTATCTTGCTGACTCCTGAATACATTTTTGATGAACAAATGGCTAAAGAACTGTAAGAAAAGGGTTTTGTTTTGTTTTTTGGTTTAGTGCTGGGGAGGGACCCCAGGGTCTGCTGTGACACCCACAGCAACGTCTATAGTTGGGGACATTTCTCAGTTGGTCTTGATTTGGTGTCCTACAGTGCTGCCTCAGATCTTACTGCCTTTCCCAATTAAAGCTGTGGGATTAGAGCTAGAGGTGAGATGCCAGTGGTTCCAGATGCTGGGGAGAGGGAGGAGTGCATTTACTTTCTGCCTTATTGCACGTTCAAATGAGCACGTTAAAAAGCTTGCACGGCAATTCCTGTACTTCCCCAGAGAAAATAATGATCTGTTTTTCCTTAGGCGTAAACTTTTCAGAAAAAGAATGGGATGAATAATTAAAACCTGCAATTCCCTTCATCTCAGGTTCCCTGGGGTACCAAGGTCTTCATCACAGGTTCACTGGGGTACCAAGGTCTTCATCTCAGGTTCACTGGGGTACCAAGGTCTTCATCACAGGTTCACTGGGGTACCAAGGTCTTCATCTCAGGTTCACTGGGGTACCAAGGTCTTCATCACAGGTTCACTGGGGTACCAAGGTCTTCATCTCAGGTTCACTGGGGTACCAAGGTCTTCATCTCAGGTTCACTGGGGTACCAAGGTCTTCATCACAGGTTCACTGGGGTACCAAGGTCTTCATCTCAGGTTCACTGGGGTACCAAGGTCTTCATCTCAGGTTCACTGAGGTACCAAGGTCTTCATCACAGGTTCACTGGGGTACCAAGGTCTTCATCTCAGGTTCACTGGGATACCAAGGTCTTCATCTCAGGTTCACTGGGGTACCAAGGTCTTCATCTCAGGTTTACTGGGGTATCAAGGTCTTCATCTCAGGTTTACTGGGGTACTAAGGTCTTCATCACAGGTTCATTGGGGTACCAAGGTCTTCATCTCAGGTTCCCTGGGGTACCAAGGTCTTCATCACAGGTTCACTGGGGTACCAAGGTCTTCATCTCAGGTTTACTGAGGTACCAAGGTCTTCATCACAGGTTCATTGGGGTACCAAGGTCTTCATCTCAGGTTCACTGAGGTACCAAGGTCTTCATCACAGGTTCATTGGGGTACCAAGGTCTTCATCTCAGGTTCCCTGGGGTACCAAGGTCTTCATCACAGGTTCATTGGGGTACCAAGGTCTTCATCTCAGGTTCCCTGGGGTACCAAGGTCTTCATCTCAGGTTCACTGAGGTACCAAGGTCTTCATCACAGGTTCACTGGGGTACCAAGGTCTTCATCTCAGGTTCACTGGGGTACCAAGGTCTTCATCTCAGGTTCACTGAGGTACCAAGGTCTTCATCTCAGGTTCATTGGGGTACCAAGGTCTTCATCTCAGGTTCACTGAGGTACCAAGGTCTTCATCTCAGGTTCACTGGGGTATCAAGATCTTCATCTCAGGTTTACTGGGGTACCAAGGTCTTCATCTCAGGTTCCCTGGGGTACCAAGGTCTTCATCACAGGTTCATTGGGGTACCAAGGTCTTACACATGAGGTCACCTGGCTCTGAGGATGGGTTTGCTTCCTTGGGTCTATCTCAGGAAAGCCCCAGCTAGCCACAGCTGTGGTTGTTCTGTCAGGGCCAGAGTGACACTATGTGGCCAGGCTGAACTTGACCCTGCCCTCCTGCCTCACCTCCATAGCTGGCCACTCTCTTCTAACTTAATGCTTCTCAGGTAGACCTCATTTCTCTTCTTTATATGGAGGGGCGGTGCCAACAACTCAACAAAGAGAGTTTCTTAGCTTATGTCATGTTGTGCTTGGGTCTACCCCAATCTTCACAGAGAGAAAATTCACACATGAACACATCCTTGCTGTCAAAATTCCAAATAAATCAAAACTCCCTGATGACCCTGACTGCTGAGGCTGTCCCTCAACACAGTGGGATGGTTAATACTGTCAACCCGACAGTGTCCAAAATCGCCCAGGAGACAAACCTCTAGGTATGCGAGAGGGTTTCTACACTGGGCGGAGGCGGGAAGATCCATCCTAAATGTGGGTGGCACCATTGCATGGACTGGGGTCCTAGACTGACCGAAAAGAGGAAGCACGCTGAGTACCAGCACCCATCTCTCTCTTCCTGACTTGTCTGTATACCCCTGCTGCCTCGGCTTCCCTGCTGTGATGGAGTGTACCCTCAGCCATGAGTCCGACAAACTCTTCCTCCGTAAGTTGTTTTGTAACCAGAGCAGGGGTGGCCACAGAGCCAAAGAGAGCAGGAGGGGCTGTGACACCTCGAGAGAAGGGACAGTGCCTGAGAGACATTCAGGCAACAGTGAAGCAGGGTATTGTGTTGTCCGCATAGACAGTTACCACGAAGTGGACGGAAAGCAGGGGTCAATGCGACAGTCTACCCTACAGTGATGTAGAAGACATGCAGACTGAGCAGAGGACGCGTACACAGCTTGTCCACAAGGCGCAAACAACCCAGGAGCCCAGACAAAGCTCTCGTTGGTTGCCCACTGCTTGGCAGGCTCTGTCTCCCTGTCCCCTTATCATTGCCATAATGGGCTGAACTCTCACTGTGCCAAATAAAATAGATCAAAAAAGCTGATGTGCATTTCCGGAATTATGCCAGAAACATCCATACATTCATGCATCTAACAAGCCCTTCACTGAGGACCCACTGGGGTCAGGTCCTGCAGCTAGCATGGTGACGAGGAGCAGAGGGAAAGGCACATAAATACAGTCACAGCCTGAGTTGGGAGTCCTCTGCCCCAGGCGAACAAAGCAGACAAGGCTCTAAGTTAGCATCTAATATGGTCAAGGCAACCTCACATCCAGGCAATCCCTCATTTGTAGTGAGCTGAATTGCAAGTGCTTTTCTAGTTAGTATCACAGAGCCACAGTACAGAGGTGTAATGGCACCAGAATTGGCAACCAAAAACATGCTCTCGTGTTTAATTCTTTCCTTACCTTTCTGTTGAGCGTACTGTGGTGTGAGAGAGGAGGAAGAGGAGGATAAGTGTGATAGTCCATCTTGCTCAGAAACATCATCTTCTCTCACCATATTCTGTGACAACAGTCCCTTTTGGTTAAGAGAGTGGAACAAGCACATGGTCCATGTTAGCTATATATCCTCCTAACAGTTTAACTGTCCTATGTTATGCCACCCTCACATCTACCACGTCAGGGCTGCCCACTGAAAAGGGCTGGACATGGCAGGGCAGGAAGAAACCAGACCCTTGTGAAAAGCCTGGCAAAAAGTTGACAGAAGATATGTGCTGGGGGATGTCTTTCTGTATGCTGTGAATATATGTTGTTCCCATTGGTTAATAAAGAAGCTGCTCTGGCCTATGGCAAGTCAGGTTATAGTCAGGCAGGAAATCCAAGAGAGAGACAGGAAGAAGAAAGGCAAAGGCAGAGTCTAGAGAGACGCCAGCATGGCCAGAAGCAAGATGTAAAAATACTGGTAAGCCACAGCCACCGGGCAACTTGTAGATAAACAGACATGGGTTAAGTTATAAGAGCTAGCTAGCAAGAAGCCTGCCATAGACCATACAGTTTGTAAATAATATAAGCCTCTGTGTGTTTACTTGGGGCCAAGGGGCTGCTAGATGTGGGTGGGAAAGATTTGTCCCCACCGCAAGGCCAGGCAGGACCAAAGAAACTTCCAGCTACATCTGGTGCAAAGACGTGGTGGCAAGAATTTCCACCAAAAACCTGAGAAAGCCTTAAAAAAGAAAAAAGAAAAAAAAAAATCTAAAACGGAGCTAAAAATAGCTTCCTAAATGTGTTTCTCAGGTAAGCCGTGAGCTACACTATGGCGGGTTCATGGAGCGCAGGCTTGAGCTACAGCGTGGCGGGTCCCCTCCGAGGTACACAGAGATTTCTCCAAGCCCTGCATCGCAGTGAGTGGTGGATTTAGCTTTTGCTAGTACAGAGAAAAAAAAAAAAAAAAGGTTTCTGGCCACACACCGCTTCTTGGAGGCATGGACCCACTGCTTCCCAGAGTTGGCAGTGAGGAGGGCTCCCAGAGCTGACTGTAAATGTACCACTGCCATGCTGGGAAGCTGAGGGGGACGGAGTTAGCAGCCAGGGCTGCGGCTTTGGCCCTAGTCACTCAGCTTATCAGTTTAAAATCTCTCATGGTCAGAGAAGGATTATAGGTTCACAATAAGACAGATTCTGATGGAATAAAACTCTAAACTGTTTACAGTGTGTGTAAAAATGTATGTAGGCTTAGAAGAGAGAGAAAAAGGAATATATGCAGTTATATAAAAAAATAGTTTTAAAAAATAAAGTCTTTAAAGAGACAGTAAAAGTAATATAAAAAATAAGCGACATAAGGATGGAAATTACACAGAGAGTCTGGATTATACTGTCTTTGGGATTTTTTTTTTAAAGATTTATTTATTTATTATGTATACAGCAAGTATGACTGCAGGTCAGAAGAGGGCACCAGATCTCATTACAGATGGTTGTGAGCCACCATGTGGTTGCTGGGAATTGAACTCAGGACCTCTGGAAGAGCAGTTAGTGCTCTTAATCTCTGAGCCATCTCTCCAGCCCTGTCTTTGGGATTTTTAACTGCAGAAAGACATTTGATTATAAAGGCTGCTGAGTTAAACCAATATGTATATTTTAAAGGTATCTTTACTTCAAAATTTGTGTCTAAGGATACGCTGCTTTGGAAAAGAGGTTCTGCTTTTGTTTCCACAGAAGATGAGAACTTATGGATTGCTTCCAGGCTAAGATGGTTTGACCACTGAAGACCCCTGAAAGATCTCCAATAACACCATGGCCCAGATGATCCGACATCCAGAACAGCTTCAAGGCAACTGACTCAGACAATGCAGCCTCACAAACTACTCCAGTCAGGACTTGACCATAATTCTTAATTTTCTCAGGATCCCCATAAGATTGCCAGCACCCCCAACCAGCAGGAAGTAGTATGAAAAGCTATGTCCAAATTTCCAAAATATTGTTTATAATTGTTTATTTTTATTTAAAGGGGAGGGACAATGGAAGACAAAGGGGCAGGACAATGGAAGACAAAGGGGCAGGACAATGGAAGACAAAGGGGCAGGACAATGGAAGACAAAGGGGCGGGACAATGGAAGACAAAGGGGCAGGACAATGGAAGAGATGGAAAACAGCACAGAGCATTCTCACGTGTCTTGGGCAGTTTAACATAGGTGACATGGGGGAAACAGTTTGGGAACACGGATGTCACCTGATTCCTGTGAGGCACAGCATAGGCAGCATCTCTGCCATCTCCCATATCCTTCCAGGTGCTGGACTCTGACTCCCTGTAGCTGGTTGACACCTGTGTTTCAGCATCCCCGTCCTCCCCACAGCCTAAAGTCTCGAAGGACGGTAAGGAAGTTCTTCCCGGCTCATTCTGCCAGCTTTGCCTGTGTTAGGCCATTAACAAGTAAGACAAGCAAACAAGAGGTTAGGTTTAGCACCTGACGCTGATACTAAACACATTTATTCTTATTTATTTTGAGACAAGATCTCACTACACAGACCAGGCTAGCCCAAACCCCTAACCTCCTGCCTCAGTCTCCCAAGTGTGAGATTACTGGCACACATCACCCCACCAAGCTGTTACACACATCTTAAATACACTGTCTCCAAGTCTGTACCAAAGAAGTATTTCAACTATAAAATACATGGAGGCTGAATGAGGACAGGTCTGTTCTCCCTGCTCTGTGCCTCTAAGTATTTCTTCCTTTTCTTTTTTTTCAAGAATGGTTTCTCTGTGTAATGGCCCTGGCTATCCTCGAACTCGCTTTGTAGACCAGGCTGGCTGTGAACTCGGAGATCCACCTGCCTCTGCCTCCTAAGCACTGGGATTAAAGGCGTGCACCACCACACCTGGCTATTAAGTATTTCTTTATACTTGTTTTCATACTCATACTCTATACATATACAACTCATCTTGCTATTAGTATTTTTAAAAAGATTTTATTTGTATGTGTGTGCCCACACACGCATGTATATCAAGGTGAGTGCAGGTGTCAGCAGAGGCCAGAAGAGGGTGCTGGATTCCCCTGGAGCTGTAGTTAAAGGAGGTTGTGAATAGCCTAACATGAGTGCTGGGAACTGAACCTGGGTCTGTTGGAATGTAACCAACTCTCCTAACCTCTGAGTCATCTCTCCACATCTGCTATTAGTAAAGCTTTATTTATTTATTTGTTTAAATATTTAATTTTACTATTTTTATTTTAGCTACATGTATATGTATGAGTGTCTGTGTGTAGGTGTATGCTTATGAGTGCAGGTGCCCATGGAGGCCAGAGTCATCAGATCCCCCTGGTTATGAAATGCCTAATGTGGGTGCTGGGAACCAAACTCAAGAGCACATGCTACATGCTGTATTCTTAACTGCTAAGCCATCTTCTCCTGCCCTTGCTTGCTTTTTGTTTGTTTGAAACAGAGTCTCGCAAGTAGCCTTAGCTGGCTTGGAAGGTGCTATGTAGAACAGTCTGGCTTGCCTCTGCCTCTTGTGTATTGGTATTAAAAGCATGTGCCATCATACCCAGCAACTAGTAAGATCTAATAGTCAACATTTTGAATGGTAAATTAGGCATAGCTTAGTGGTCATGTGCATGTTTGGCATGCATGAGTCACTGTATACACACACACACACACACACACACACACACACACACACAATAATGGAGGTATGTCAGTGTGCTGGGAATTCCTCTTCCTTAGGTGGTTTTATTTCCCTCTGATTTTCATTGTTATAAATAACCCTGTAATGCACCTTGTACACTTAACCTCTTCCGTACCAAGGATTAGTTCTAGAAAGCAAACCATGATATGGTACATTGCTGCACCTGATGTAAAAAAATAATGTAACAAATCACTTCCTGAACCCAAAACTATGTAAGTAGGAGTTTTCTTAACCACACAATTTAAATATCTCCGTGTGTGTGTGTGTGTGTGCATGCGTGCGTGCGTGTGTGTTTCTTACTGAAGCTGAATAATTTTCCATAATTTACCTCAGTCACCATTCTTCTGCTGTCAATTGTCTCTTCCTATTTTATTTGTTTCTAATGGTCCAATTTGAAACAAGCTTTATCTACTAAAATTAAAACCCTGTTTTCAGCCAGGAGGTGTAGCACATACCTTTAATCCCAGCACTTGGGAGGCAGAGGCAGGTGGATCTCTGTGAGTTCAAGGCCAGCATGGTCTACAGAGAGAGTTCCAAGACATTCAGGGCAACACAGAAAAACCCTGTCTCAAAAAACAAAACAAAACAAACCAGTTTTCATGTTTACTATAAATATTTACCCTGTTCTATTAATTTTGTTTTGATTATGTACATTTTTTTAACATATGGATGATTAAAAGAAAAACATTTTTGGCCGGGGGCATAGCTGAGTGTAGGCCTTTGCCTAGCATGGAGAAGGACCCAGGACTGATGCCCTAGAGCTGCAAAATAACAACTTCTGTTGTTTTGAAACAGGATATCACATAGCCCAAGCTAGCCTGAAATTTACTATATAGCCAAGAATGTCCTTGAACTCCTGATATTTCAACTTCCAACTTGAAAATGCTAAGATTACAGATGTGAACCACAGTTCCCAGTCCCTTCCCGCAACCCTGAGCATCCCACCCCACCCTAATTTTACCTTCTAAATTCCTAGCTTAGAAGCAGTCAACCAGGCATTCAAGTTCATGGTCTTACATATGTGAATACCTAGAACAATCCTTTCATCACATAGGGACTGACTGTGGTGTGTGACCTCGGCAGGACTCAAAGCTGATCTGCTTTCAAATACAGTTAGTAGGTGTACTGAAGTCCTTCCTTCCCCCTGATCCAGGTCAGGGCTGCCTCACATTCGCAAGCACCCCCACTACTGAACTGAGTCGCCACTCACTGCTCTCACTGCTTTAGCATCTGCTTTAGAATACAGCAGGGCTAAACCAGCCCTCACCTGGACTAGCATTTTTGCATTCTTCCTTTGCTAATATTATATCCTTTTTCTTTCCAGTGAACTTTATGATCATTTCCATATTTTTAGTTCAATTCAGCCAGAGTGTAATTGTAAGAAGAAAAACTAGCTATATTCAAAATGGAATCAAGATTTCCTTTTGATACTGGTCCAGCTATGTTGTCCAGGTCAGGCCTGAACTCCCGGGTTCAAGTGATCCTCCTGACCCAACTTCTACAGCAGTTGAGACGATAGCCACTGTGACTGAAGAGTCAAGATTGAGATGTAAAGTCCCATGGCACACTGCTGTAATTCTAGCTGCCTGGGAAGCTAAAGTATGAGAAATACAGTCTGAGGCCATCCTGGTCTAGACAGGAAGACCTTGTCTCAAAAAATTACAAGAACAATTAATGTCCTGTCAGTGCCTCCTGGACACAAGTGACGACAGCCTGGTGACTATGATTAACACGTGGCCCCATACAGAGTGGCCTTGCTGAACTGTCCTCTATTACCATGAGAGGATGCACAGCTGTTACCATGTCCCTACCGAGGCCTCAGCTCTGAGGTGGTGGCATAGGGCTCGATGAAGCTGTCCTTTTCAACGTAGGAGGCGTCACTCTCAGACCGGGATCTCTGGCGAGGCTGGGGAATGGCCACTGTCTGTCCAGTCAACGTGGTCGCCAGGATGACTGCAGCCAGAGCAGACCTAGGAACAGAAACATCCACAGAGGCACTGAGCAATGGACATTCAAGATGCAGGCTGAAGTGACCAGGTTAACCCAGTGCAGCTACTGATTAGCTGTGGACAGCTCAGTCACAGTCCACAATAGCCCACTGGAATCCCCATCTAATTTTTGCACTGACTGAATCAAATTTATGCAGTCCATTCTTAGAGCAATTAAATGATTTGTAAAGACTTTATCTAGTCAATAAGATGTGGCAACACCAGCTTGTCAATCCACATAGTCAGACATGCAAAGCCTACATTCAAATAGTTTTCTCATTAAAATGAAAGATCTAAATAAAATAAATGAAATAAAGGAGGACTTATGCCAGGTGTGGTGGCACACATCTTTGATCCCAGAATTTGGGAGGCAGAGGCATGTGGATCTTTGTGAGTTGGGGGCCAGTCTGGTCTATGCAGCAAATTCTAGATAAGCCTGGGCTATATAGTGAGACCCTGACTTTAAAAAAATATATATATAGGGCTGGGTGGTGGTGCACGCCTTTAATCCTAGCACTTGGGAGGCAGAGCCAGGTGGATCTCTGTGAGTTCGAGGCTAGCCTGGTCTACAGAGCAAGCTTCAGGACAAGCACCAAAACTACACAGAGAAACCTTGTGTCGAAAAACATACACACACACACACACACACACACACACACACACACACACACACACACACATATAAACACATACACACACGACTTGTAATGATGAAAAGACCCATCAATAAAAACACCCATCTGTATTTCCAGTGCTAGCTGGCCAGCCAGCCTAGCCAAAAAGGCAAGCTTCTAATTCCATGAGAGACCTGTCTCAGCTCAGTAAGATGGAGAACAAAGACCTTCTGTCCCACCCCTAACCTTGCAGTGGGAGGGGCAGGGCTGCTGGAGGTGATGAGCAATGTCAAGCATCAGCTGCGCCTACACAACGAAGCTTACACACACACAAGAGCAGTGTGTGAGGCACCGGCTTCCATCAGCAGCACTATTTCCCCGAAAATGAGTGGAATGTGTGGGAACTTGTGGAAGGTGAAAGGCACCTCTAAGTGCTGACCACACATACATCTCAACTCCACAGAGACAGAAACACCTCACCCTCTGGATCATTTCGGATGCCTAGTTGTGTCCTTTAAAAGTCTCCTTTAAGGCCGGGCGGTGGTGGCGCACGCCTTTAATCCCAGCACTCGGGAGGCAGAGACAGGCGGATCTCTGTGAGTTCGAGGCCAGCCTGGTCTACAAAGCAAGTTCCAGGAAAGTCACAAAGCTACACAGAGAAACCCTGTCTCGAAATACCAGTCTCCTTTATAAAGCGAGGCATGGTGACACACGCTTGTCATCTCAGCACTTGGGAGACTTGAAAGAGGAGGGTCACAAGTCTGGAGCTAGTCTGAGCTACCCTACCTCAAAGCAGATCAAAATAAAGAGTAAAACAGCCTCCAAAATAAACCAATAAACACACGCAAACTCAAGTCCTCCAAAGAAGCCGCATCAGTGTAAAGGCCCTGCAGGTTGACAGGCGACAGGAACTGTGTGACTTGAGAGGTGGATGGCTGCAAGATCAAAAGCTGAGGTGACCTCCCAGTCATTCACTACCAACCTCCCATCTGGCCTAATCTCCTTGTGAATTGGGTAAAACTCTTGGAACGTGTTGTCGAACTTAAGAGACCAGTTGATTCCAGGAACCCCAGGAAAGCTGTGATCCACCATCCCAAACCTACAGATAGTCCATGCTCTGCTGTATCCTGCCTCCCCGATATCACAACCACTGTATTTGGTAAATGCACTGATCTATGTATGACTTCCTTTTGCTCTCTGACTTACAGAAAAAAGTTAGTTAACCTCCTCCACACTGAAGCATGCCATTCAAGGTAACCAGAATACATATTTCAGCGCCACACTCACTCACAGTTAGCTCAGAACCTGGATCCTGTTCCCAGGCCAAGACCACTCATTTCTAGCGCAGGACAAACTACCTCTTATTCCAAGGGCTGTGTTTCGCATCTTTCCCTAGGATCTGTGAACCACTCTATCAAATCCAACATAAAGACAGGGTTGTGAGCACACTGGCTTACTTTCAGGTTAGAACCCAGGCAAAACCACCTGGGCCTGTGTCTGTTATCTGAAGTTGGGGGCTGAGCAATGGTTGGGGGAGGGGGGGTCTGACACAATCTTTAGGTGGATAGTCTTAGAACTTAATTGGGTTAGAGAAGACCCAGCCATTGCCCACTGAAGAATTAATTGTCTACTTCCAGGAAGGAAGAAATCCGGAGTGATGTGTTGATTACTGCTGGGTGAGAACACAGGAGGAGCTGAGTGACTTTTCCCTATAACCTCAGAACTACACCCATTAAATGTCCAGAAATTTAAAGACGAATAAGACAATCCCTTACACTCGGCCTTTCAACACAGACCTAGCAGAATGGCTGCCACGATGAAGAATGGCAAGGAGGGCCATTCTGCCACCCACAAAGGGGGGATAGCAGCAACCCCAACAAGCACATCCCCAAAACTGTCTCTTCAAAGAGACCAGAAACGCACAAGGCTAAATGAACAAGGGCTAGCCTGCTCCTGACTGTACAGAACCGCCAGGAAAGTGTGCTGGAGATGAGTCACCCAACAGGCTCTAGAGCTTAGCTACTTGTGGATGTTCACCACCTTCAAAAATCTGCAGAGTCAGTGTGGATGAAAACTACTCTAGTGCACCATCAAGATCCACACTCCCAAGCAGACCGGCCAAACCGGACGCCGCTGAGGACAGAGAGTGAGTGGCACTCAGCAGTGGGACACCAACAACTGTGGTGAGTCATTTGGCAATCTTGTCAAAATAAGAGCTTTTAAGGGGCTGAGAGATGACCTAGTGGTTAAGACCACACGTTGCCTTTCCAGGGGACCCAGGTTTGGTGGCTCACAACCATCTGTAACTCCAATTCCAGGGTACCTAACATCCTCTTCTGACCTCCGAGGGCACGAGCAGGCATGTGATACATAAACATACAAGTAAGCAAAAACATTCATACATATAAAACAAACCTTTAAGAGTTTCAAAAGTAGTAATAAAGATTTTTTAATCAAAGTCTTACTATGTAGCCTAGGCTAGCCTAGAACTAGCATCAATCCTCCTGCATCAGCCTCCTGAGTGCTGAAATTACAAGTATATTCAACCAGGCCCTTTTTTCTTTCTTTCTTTTTTTTTAAAAGACTTTTTTACTACCTTTAACTACGAGTATGTAGGTTCACCTGTGTGTGGGTATATGTAGTGAGTGCAGGTGCCCAAGAGGGCCAGAAATGTTGGAATTGGAGTTACAGGCAATTGTGAGCTGCTCCATGTAGTGAGAGGAAATGAACTCTGGTACTCTGCAAGAATAGTACATGCTCTTAATGGCTAAGCCATCTCTACAGGCCCACCAGGTCATTCTTGAAAAAGACTTTTGGGCTGGAGAGATGACTCAGTGGTTAAGAGCATGTACTACTCTTTCAGAGGACCTGGGTTCAATTCCCAGCCCCCACACAGCAGTTCCCAACTGTCTATAACTCCAGTTCCAGAGGATCCAACAACCTCACACAGATGTCAACACCCTCACACAGATGTACACACAGGCAAAACATCAATACATACAAAAAAAAAAAAAAAAATGGAAGAAAGAAAAAAAAAGGATTCTAGGGAGCCCACAACATGCTTCCCATGAAGCAACTTTCTCTTCGTTTTGCTGACATGGAATGGAAAGCTAACCCTCTAGCCACTGCCAGAGGCATGAACACTTAAGTCTCAATGATACAACACAAACACTGATGAGCTGGACAGACCACCTTCGTACCAGTGGGTGGGGCTACTGCCCTGACCTTCAAAGCCAGTGGTCGACAGCTGAACCTCACAGGCGACCCAAAATAGAGACGAGCACAGGGCCCTCCCACAGTGCTACGGAGAGAGTGAAGGAAGGAGACATTGCTCGTTCAGCGCTCACTAGACTACCTGGCACAGAGTGATCACTAACAGTGGCTATCCATGTTACACGCTGCAGGCAAAATCAAACACGAAAACACCAGAGGCTTTCCTGCTCCGGGATTAGGGACAGAACCCAGGGGCTAGCTCGTGAATGCTGGGCAAATGCTGATTAGCAAGCCGTATCTCCAGCCCTTCAGAGTTTATATACTGATCAAATGCATGGGATATATCAGTACCAAAGAAGACCAAATAGAAAGTGGTACCCTGGAGTAGAATTAGTTCTTACTAACAGGGAATAACCAAATCAATGTATCTTATGGATTGAAAACAGACTAGCTGTGCACTGCAAAGGTGGTTCAGTGGTTAAAGAGCACATACTGCTCTCTCAGAGGATCTGAATTTGGCTTCCAGCACCGATGTTGGGTGGTTCACAACTACCTGGAACACCAGTCCAGGGGACCCAGTGTCCTCTTCTGGATTCCAAGAGTACCCTCATCCAAGTACACATACATACACACACACATACACAGGCACAGGCTATACACAGAATTTAAAAATAATTTTTTTCTTTTGATTTTTTTTTCGAGACAGGGTTTCTTTGTGTGGCTTTGTCTGTTCTGGAACTCTGTAGACCCGGCTGGCCTCAAACTCACAGAGATCCGCCTGCTTCTGCCTCCATGAGTGCTGGGATTAAAGGTATATGCCACCACCACCTGGCTAAAAATAAAATTTTAAAAACAGCAACAATGAAAAAAAAATCAGACTAGCTAGGCATGGTGGCTTACACTTAAAAACTCACTCTTAGGAGGCTGAGGCAGGAGGACTGCTTTGAATGCAAGGCCAGCCTGAGCTACAAAGTAAGATACTATAAAAACAAACAAACAAACAAAACAAGTCTAAAGTTTTCTAGTGTCTAAAATCTTGGCAGGCGGTTGGGGATTTAGCTCAGTGGTAGAGCGCTTGCCTAGCAAGCGCAATGCCCTGGGTTCGGTCCTCAGCTCTGAAAAAAAAAAAAAAAAAGGTGTAGTAAAACCTTGGCAGATATCGGCAGTGGTCCCAGGAAGGGGAAGAGAGTCGGCTCCCTGGTACACAAAGCACTGGGGGGTGAGGAACACCAGTTCCTGGCAGGGAGTATGTTCCTTCCTTTTAACGCAAAGTAGTTCTTTTAAAAGGTAGAACTGTAGCCAGGCGATGGTGGCTCATGCCTTTAATCCCAGCTCTCGGGAGGCAGAGGCAGGTGGATCTCTGTGAGTTTGAGGCCAGCCTGGGCTACAAAGTGAGTTCCAGGACAGTCAAGGGTAAGCAGAAAAACCCTGTCTCGAAAATCAAAAGAAAAAAAAAAAGAGGCAGAACTGTATGTAGAAAGAACGTTCTCCTGGAAGCACTATTAACGTGGATGGACAAACGGCTGAGGTGTGGAGCACATGTTTACATGCACAAGGCCCTGGCCTCCATTCCCTTGGAGAAAGAGTGGAGAAGGAAGGACTAACTTAAACTCGGGGCTCTCAGTTTAATAAGCACCGACTGCATCCAATCAAGAAATCTGAGACCCTACATTGCAGGAGATAGACCCCAAGTAAGTCCATCATTCCTCAGAGAAGCTGGATTAAGTCTATCACGGGGCAGTGGTAAATATCACAAAGGATCTGATTCTAGCCCCTCTACTTGACGGTCAAGCATAACGGTGACCCTCGGTGCTGCTGAGCTTGAGACCTACCTGGGTCTCTCTGGAGACGGGTTGGGGCTCCGGGGAGGAGGTGTGCGCGGTACAGCGGGCTTCGGAGCAATACTGGCTGCTGGGAGGAAGCCATGGATGATGTGATTCTGCACAGTGAAACACAAGGCAGGTCACCGGAGGAGGAAATCGCCTGGTCCTGTCCCAGCATCACCTCCCAAGCTGAGGCCACACCAGGGATCCAGTCCTGTCAGGAGTCCCCTCCTCTCGTTGTTCCCATTTGTCAAGGAAAGTGCATGCACTCCAGGGCACGCCATCACGCCGCCCACGGAGGCAGTCCACTTTCTTCCTTATAGCAGCCTTCCTGACTGATTTCAGCTTTCCTGGCGGAGTTAATCAACTGCTGGTGCATTATGAGCACATCTTCAGGTGTCTCTGATTTCCAGAGAGGATTAACAGAGCTGGGACACCCTACCCTAAATATGAAGAGAACCAACTCATGGGACAGGGGGCTCAGGCCAGAGAAAGAGGAGAACATAAGCACGCACCTGCATCTTTCCCCCTTGCTTCCTGGTCTGCCGAGATAGGAGTGAGCACTCACTACACACTCCTGCCACCACGGAGCCACCCACGGCCACACCTTCCCCACTAGGATGGAGCACATCCCCTCAGAACCATGAACCAAAGTAAACTTCTGCTCCCACAAGTTACTTCCCGACAGGTCACAGCCACCAAGAGAAGTCATAACTACAATGACCATTACCTTCCAGGCTTCCAACACACAGCACTGTCCCCAGGGAAGTCACCCAGGCCTTCCCACCCTGAGCAGCAGGTGACTCTCTTGTCGTTCTCAGCTCTGGAACTGAGCATACTGACTCATTTCTGAGAGGAGCTTGACTCCAGGTGGCTTGTCTCCAAGATGCACAGTAGGAAAATGAGCCCCTACATACGACAAAAGTCAGAGGGAACCCCACTCCAACTGGGGGTGGGGGTGTCCTTCAAGTTTCTGAGCCCTGTCCAATCTTTGTTTTCTGAGCACCAGCCACTCACTGACACCTGCCAGAGGCAGGCTGCCATGACAACAAAGAAGATGCCCTGACTTCATCGTCTGGGGCATAGAGTGAAAAAACACCCACGCTGTTGTTATAGAACACAAAATTATGAGAACTGGCAACGGACAGGAAAATCAAAATGGCCCAGGAAGAAGGGTTCCTTGGGGTTTTTTGTTTTCCTTTCTTTTTGAGCTGTATTTATTTTAAGTGTATGAGTGTTTTGTCTGCATATATGTCTACACACCACATGCATGCCTGGGCCTGTGGAGGTCAGAAGAGGACATCAGATCCCCTAGAAATGGCATTTGGGATGGCTGTGAGCCACCGTGTGGGTGCTGGAAGTTGAGGCCAGGTCCTCTGCAAAAGCAACAAGTGCTGTTAACCACTGAGTCGTCTCTCCAGCCCTTCAGGGGTTTCCTGGGGGAAATGCCAGAGAGGCGTCACACAGTCTCCACTGCCTCTGCACTGGAGAGGGGACAAGACGAACAAGGGAAGTGACAAAGCAAAGCCGGACAGAAGGGCTGGGTGGGTCACTTAAAGTTATTTCTGGGGGCTGGGGAAATGGCCCAGAGGACCCGAGTGCAGTTCCCAGCAACTGCCTGTAACTGCAGCTCCAGGGCAGCCGATGCCTCTGGCCTCCACAGGCACTCACACTCCAGTGCACAAACTCACACTTAAGACACTTACACATAATTAAAAGTACATCTTTTTGGGCTGGAGAGATGGCTCAGAGGTTAAGAGCACCGACTGCTCTTCCAGAGGACCTGAGTTCAATTGCCAGCAACCACATGGTGGCTCACAACCATCTGTAATGAGATCTGGCACCTTTTCTGTATACATAATAAATAAATAAATAAATAAATCTTTAAAAAAATACATCTTTTTTTAAAGGTTATTGCAATGAGGTTGGAGCTAGTGACAGAATGTTTGCCTGGTGTCCAAAGGAGCCTGGGATAGTTGCCTTTTCCCCCTCCCTTGAGACAGGGTCTCACTGTGTAGCTTTGACTAGTCTAGAACTCACCACATAGACCAGGCTGGCCTTGGACTCAGAGGACTGCCTATCCCTGCCTCCAGAGTGCTGGGATTAAAGGTGTGTGCTATATTATTCCTGGTCTAAAAGGCCCTGAAATGGATTCCTAGCACCACAAAATCAAGTTGTCATGATTAACAAATAGTAGTGAAAGGAAAGGGGGTGTGTGTCCATGGATTGCTGGAGTCAAGATCCTAGAAAAATGAGTAAGAAGTCACGTGTGGTGGTGACTAATGCTGTAATCTCAGCATTCAGGGGGCAGAGGCAAGAGGACTGTGGCAAGTTTCCAGGGCTACATAGTTAAGACCCCATTTCAAAACCAAAACCAAACAGAACAAGAAATATAAAACAGCAAGGGATCAGAGAATGAGCCTAGGAAGACAATACATGGCACATGGTGACACAATGGCCTTAAGAAGATCTTAAGAAGGAACAGAAAATGCCAGTGTGTCTGGCGAGTGAGCGTGTGGTGGGGTCGGGGACAGTGGGATCTACTAATGGCACTGGCGTGATCGGATCTGCGGTTTTAAAAGTCCCCGTCATTGCTCTGTAGACAGCGAATCTCAGGAACCTCGGAGGTGAAAACAGGGAGCCTAGGAAACAGCTGAATACGAAGCAGTCCAGGTAGAGGCCGAGGACGGGGTGGGCATGGCCTAAGGGTAAGACTCGGTGGGCAGACGCGATGGACCGGCTCAGGCGAGTACGCGGTGCGGGGTGCAGGGGGGATATCCCGGCCAAGGGGAGAATCCTGACGGGAGACAGTACTTCCTGAACGTGGCCGACTCTGGAGAGGAAGCATTCTTTGGAACACGAAGTCAGGGCTTTTGGAACTGAATGCTCTCTGGCAGTGCCACCGCCTCGCTCCCACATCGGGCCTGGAAAACATGCCCCTGGCGTTACTCACGAACTGGCTCCGGCGGTTCCTGCGGAAGCTGAGGAGCATCCTGGCTGTGGGCAGTGAGCTTCGGCGCCCGGCGCTGGACTAGCAGGAGGACAGCCCCGCAGCCCCGGCAGCTCCTCACAGCCCAGCTCCCGCGGACCCTCAGACTTCACAACAAGCATGCCTCCCATTGGCTCTGCTTTGAGCTTCGACCAATCAGAGTCAATTTTACTGCCACCCGTTGCTCTTGACAACTTAACGAGGCGTCATTCAAATTCCAGCCAATGAGGAGGTAAACTGAGCCTTCCGTTCTATTACTGATTACACTAGAAGTCAGTCTTGTACCTATTAGCCAATCCGACGCTGAAGAGGGCGGGCAGACTTATAGAAGGTGGGCGGGCCGGGCTGTGGGAACACGGAAGTGGCATGGCCTCAGGTGATGTCCACGGAGGTTCCAGATCCCGGCACCGTGAGCTTCCCTGCTGCTTCAGCCCCTGACAGGGACTGGTAGAGGAACCACCCTGAGCGCCCTGTTAGGACACCAGAGCTCAGGAAGGTGTTTAAGAAGAGGGACAGAGTGACTAAGAGAGGACTCTCCTGGTGTTAGCCCTGCGGGGTGGCCCCGGCTGTCATCCCAGAACTTGGGAGGCTGAATTCGAGATCAGCCTGAGCTACTAGCCAACTGTCAGTACAGGGCCAAGCTTCATAATAAGACCCATTCTTATTTTTTTCAAAGAAGAAATTTCTGGAATTTTGGTTTCGGTTGATATAATTCAGTGCCTGAAAAGCCACTCCACAGATCCTGCCAAAGAGGTCTGGACTTCGTCTAGAACCGTGTGCAACAGCCTGCTCTAGTGAGGTCTTGTATCTTTCTCATTAGACCAAAACCACGGATGGACAGGAACAACCCCGGTGGTACAGGTCCGGTGCACGTGCCACTGGGGCATATTGTGGCTAATGAGAAATGGCGCGGGTCCCAGCTGGCTCAGGGGATGCAAGGTTAGTGAGCTGGCTGCCTTCCAGCATACTCTTTCTTCCCATCACATTCAAGGGGAAGGGGGAGTACCGGGTATGGGATGTCCTTCCTCCAGAGATTGAGGCAGGAGAATTGTTGAGTTGGAGACCAACCTGGGCTACATAGCAAGTTCAAGGCCAGCTAGGGCTATGAGAACCTGTCTCTAGATTAAAATAATAAAATAAAATAGAGACTGGAGAGATAGTTCGGCGGTTAAGAGGACTGGCTGCTCTTGCAGAGGACTCAGGTTTGATTCCCAGCATCCATGTGGTGGCTTAGGGAATCAGACTCCTCCCTCTTCTGAGCTTTGGGGCACTAGACATGCACATGTACACAGACATATATTCAAGTAAAACATACACATAAATCTTTTTTTAATTAAATAGGGGGCCTAGATTTAATTAAATCAGCACCCCCATTGGACTGCTCATTACTGCCTTTAATTCCACTCCAGAGGATTTGATGCCCTCTTCTGGCCTCTCAGGGTACTTGCACACATGTGCCCAGACAGACAGACAGACAGACACACACACACACACACACACACACACACACACACATTTTAAAAATGAGTCTTCATACAAACAACAACAACAACAAAACCCCATACATTCTAACTGTTGCTGCCTTATTTGGAATTTCTAAAACCTCATTTTTTTGTCTGTATTTCAAGGAAAAGTTAAACTCATATTTGAAGAGGATCTGGCATCGGCAGATTTTTACCTGTCCAGCAGATCTTGCATTCTCTATATCACTGAGGCAGATTTGGTGGTTGGACATGGCTACAGAAAGAGACTTGTTCGTGTTAGAAATGTAAGTCCTGACTTAGAGGTGCTAAAATCTTTGTACCTCCATCACCCATCTCAAGCATCCCAAGTACTAAGTGATAAGTTTCTGAACTTTAAAAGGAATTGTTACCAACTCGTTTACTGTCTTTTCTTTTGAAGTCTGGACATCTTCAAGGGATTATAATAGTTGAAAAAACGCAGACAAGTGAACAGTACTTCCCGGCAGTCCAGAAGTTTACTGTGCTCGACCTTGGGATGGTGATGTTCCCAGTGGCCAACCAGTTGGAAGCATCCTGCCTCATTATCCAGTTGGTGAGTACCGGATACCTCCTTTACAATATTTTTTTAAGATTTACTTCTTTTATTTATTGGTTTTTCAAGACAAGGTTTCTCTGTGTAACAGTTCTGACTCTATCTTGGAACTCACGATTTACTTATTTTTATTTTATGCACATCAGTGGTTTTGCCTGCATGTATATCTCTGTGAGGATGCCAGATCTCCTGGAACTGAGTTAGAGACAGTTGTGAGCTGCCATGTGGGTTCTGGGAATTGAACCCGGGTCCTCTGAAAGAACACCCAGTGCTCTTAACCACTGAGCCATCTCTCCAGCCCTAAACATTTTTTGTTTTGTTTTGTTTGTTTGTTTTTGAGACAGGCTTTCTCTGTATAGCCCTGGCTGTCCTGGAACTCACTCTCTAGATCAGGCTGGCCTTGAACTCAGAGAGATCCACCTGCCTCTGCCTCCCAAGTGTTGAGATCAAAAGCGTAATCTTGCAGGAGTGTATCACCACACCAGATTTTAAGGCAGTGCTGGAGATTGAACCCAGGACTTACCGCACTCGGGGCAAACACTCCACCAGCCAAATGACACCTCTGTCTGATTTCTTGAAACCCTTTGGACTGTTGCAAGCCCGTAACAAAGGCAACATGTTGCAGCTCTGATTTTGGATTCCGGGCTACTCTCACGCCGTCATCATTATCCTGCATTTGTACTGTATTGGTAAAAGTGGCACCTGGCAACCCCTTTGCCTCATTCTCACATGCCATTGTTTATGTTTCAGCATTTCTTGGTTTGTGTTTTGTTTGTTTGTGGGTACCCCCTGCATAGGGCCTTGAACTCCTAGTCCTCTTGATTCTTCTTCCCTAGTTCTTGGGATCACAAGCATTTACCACCATGCTAGGCTAAGCCTCAGTACTTTTGTGTATAGCCTCATTGTGTTTATTTCCTTAAAAAGATAAATAAATAAAAATTCTGAGGCTGGGGGATGGCTCAGTGGTTAAAACACTTAAGCATGCAGACCTAAGTTTGACCGCTTCCAAACCCATGTGAAGATGCTAGGCATGATGACACACTGGTAATCCTGGCCCTGGGTAGGGAGACAGGCAGATGCCTGGACCTTGCTGGCCAGCCAGCCAGCCTAGCCTAGTCAGGCAGCTACAGGCTAAGGAGAGACCCTGCTTCAAACCACAGGCAGATAGAGCCTGAAGAACATCACGCAAGGCTTCGCATGCATGCAAACGTATATTCCTACTTGAATACACACACACACACACACACACACACACACACACACACACACACACACGCACCGGAAATAAATGTCACTGGTTTCTTGTCTTTGCCTGTTCCTGGGTGTTCTATTTGTTTGCTCATTATACTTTCCGATTCCAGGTCTCACTATGTAGCCCAGGTTGGCTTGCAGCTTACCATGTAGCCCAGGCTGACTCCACACTTGCCATCCTCTCACCTGAGCTTCCTGAGTGCTGGGATTACAGGCACTATGCCATGTCTGGTTCTCCTGGGGAACCTTCGCAAAATGTCACAGGCTGGCAAGTGTCCGTGGACTTCACTTGCCACCTAAAGCGCCGAGCTCCACCCCTGCAGAACATGTGGTGCAAGAGATTCTACTCCCACAAATTGTCTCTTGACCTCTACATGCACGTGATGGTACATGCACGCCTCCCCCAAATAATGTAAGATAGCATTTCCCACCCACAACGAGCCTCAGTAACAATTCACAAAAGTCAAATAAATAAATAAATACATTAACTAATTAAAATAGTGTCAGGAGGCAGGTTCATGGACTTGTCACAATCCCAGCTTTTAAGGCTAACCTGGGCTGCATAGTAAGGCTCTGTCTCAAAAGAAAATTAAAGCGACAGGATTAGAATATATATAACTCTGAGGTAGACCACTTGAGGCTGAGTTCAGTTCTTAGCACTGGGGGAAAAAAGAGTAATATATGAGGCTTTCCTCTGACCAGGATAGGTCCTGAGTAGTTTTTTGGTGAGTTATTGTGTTATTAGAGTTATTTTTAAAAATTATAGCCGGGCGGTGGTGGCGCACGCCTTTAATCCCAGCACTCGGGAGGCAGAGCCAGGCGGATCTCTGTGAGTTTGAGGCCAGCCTGGGCTACCAAGTGAGTTCCAGGAAAAGGCGCAAAGCTACACAGAGAAACCCTGTCTCGAAAAACCAAAAAAAAAAAAAATTATTGTGTTGCATTATATGTATATAGACACACATGGCATGGCGTGCTTGTAGAGGTCAAAGGACAACTTTGTGGGGTCCACTCTCTCCTTCCGCCTTTGCCTGGATTCCAGGGATCAAACTCAGGTCGGCAGACTTGTGCAGCAAGTGCCTTTACCTGCTGAGCTTGCTCACAGGCTCCCGGGTTACTGTGGTTAAGTGGATGAGCATCTAGGTTGAAAAGCAAATTGGAACTGCACGCAGGCCCTTGGCTTACCGACTCCTCCATACCAGCATTCTGCCTGCAGGAGAATGCTCTTGTCTGCCTGGGGGTAAGGGTGTAACTGTCACTAGCTGAAGAGTCCATTTCTCCTGTGAGAGCTTGGAGGGGTCGTAGCAGGGACACACAGCTGCTCTCACTCTTGACTGAAGAATGATCCTGTGTTGGAGACCTTTGTCCTCTTCAATCAAATGTGCTTTGTCAGTGGAGTGGCAGGTGTCATGGTCAGATTGCCTTCACACCCCTGGTATCTCCTACTTTGTCCTTTGAGACAGGCTCTCACTGTGTAGACCAGGCTGGCCCCAGATTCACAGAGCTGTACCTGCCTTCGCCTGCCTAGGGCCGAGATTGCAGACACACACTCCCTCATGTGACGGGGCTTCTCTTACAGGTCCTGTTTGAAACAGGTCTCTGAAATGTTTACTTCTGTTTCCAGTCTCCTGTCTGGGTGTGTGTGAGGATGTGTGCATGTGCGGGTGTGCAAGTCAGAGGACAACTTTGGGGGTCAGTTCTCTACTTCCTCCTTTATGTGGGAACTGAACTTAGGTTACCAGACTGGCACACCAAGCACCGTCATCCACTGAGTTATCCCACCAGCCCAAGAGTTTTCATTATTTGTTTATTTATTAACTTGCAGAGCTGGGAATTGAACATAATAAGGCCTCGTGCATGCTAGGCAAGTATTCTACCACTAAGCTGTAGTCCCAGTCCTTTGAAATAGTTTTTTGTTTGGTTGAGTTTTATTTTTGTTTTTTGAGACAGGGTCTCTACCCTTGGCTGTTCTGAAACTTGCTCTGTAGACCAGGCTGGCTTTGAACTCACAGAGATCCGCCTGCTTCTGCCTCTCCAGTGCCCTGATGTGTGCCACCGCACCTGCCCTGAACTAATTCTGAAGAAATATGTAAATTCTTTATGTTTTTGACCAGTTTTACCCATAATATTCTGAAAACTCAGTTTTTATAACTGTCTTTTTCCTTTGCATGGTCATATGGTCTATATTTAAACATCTTCACCAATATCAAAGAGTTTATATTTTTGGTATATGAAAACCCATAAGCTGAAGTAAACGGGAAAGCTGTTTTAAGGGGCATGGAAAATGGCACAGAGGGTAAGGTACCTGCCGGACAGGTATGAGGCCCCAAGTCCCTGAGAGTCCAGAACTCGTGAAGAGCCAGCTGTGGTGATCACGTTATAACCCTGGTGCTGGGGAGGTGAAGACAGGAAGGTCCCTGGAACTCGCCGGCCATTCTGATCAAGTTAGTGAGCACTGGGGTTACTAGGAGACCCTGCCTCAGAAACTAAGGTGGAGAGCAGTAGAGGAAGGTGGCCAATGTCAACTTCTGGCCTCTACCTGTGTGCAGTGCGTATGTGTACATACAAAAACCACACTCTGTCCACTAGAGGGCGCCCATGTGCTTTACCTTTAATTTTCCCATTCAGGTTCAAGAGCAGACCAGGGAGCCCAGCAGGAACCCTTTCCTCAGGAAGAAGCGGTGTGTGCTCTCAGAGCTGTCCCTTGTCCAGACTGTGCAGCAGATCCCAGGGGTTGGAAAAGTTAAGGCTCCTCTTCTGCTCCAGAAGTTTCCAACCATCCAGCAACTGAGTAATGCTTCCGTCCAAGAACTCGAGGAGGTCGTGGGACACTCAGTGGCGCAGCAAATCCACACCTTCTTCACCCAGTCTAGGTGACAGCAGCCCCGCAGCTAACTTGTTCCTCTTTCAGACTACAAACTACAGAGTCTGGTTTTTGTATGTAAAAAGGAAGAAAAGTGTTCTTTTCTCAGTGGCAAAGAGCGAAAGACAAAGCAAGGACCGATGGAACTCACCAGTCACCTTGCTGTCCGGCCGGGCAGTGACGTTATGGGCCTCAGGCTGTGGGTGGCACTGCCCACTTTCTGCTAAGATGAAAAGGATCCCACGGGGATCATCCAAAGAGCGCCAGAGACTCATTCTCAGCAGACTTGTATGGGCACCTTCCCTTGCGTCTGCCACTGAGAGGTCCTGGGAGGTTCCAGGCACTGGATGTGAGGGCCTGGCTCTGCGGAGGGAGTGCCCCTGTGCGCAGGGTCAGGGCCAGAGCTCAGGTCTCTCTGCACAGTGGGTACCTGTGTCCCGGAGCTGCTGCCTCTGCCTCCCCTTCCTCCCCCTTCCTCCCTCTCCACACAATAAACATTTTGTGCCTGAGATGAATAACACTTCAGAAGAAGTAATTAAAATGAAATAAAAGCAAAGAAAAATATTAGACAATGAACATGACTATTTATTTAAATATTTATACAAACAGCCCTGGGATAGTGGGCATACTTTCCTAAAGGCGTTTGCTTTCTTAAGATATTGCACAGTAGAAAAATATTTAAATCCTTGTTACTTCTCAAATTAAGATCCATAGGCTACATCGTTAAGCATATCACTTAAACTATGTCAACCATGACTCTGGAAAAGTCACAGTGTCATCCAACAATAGCCCAAAGTCAAGTTGGTAGGTAGATACATCCTAAAAAGTCAAGTAGAGGTTTCAACTTGAAGAAGTTTACGTCTTTACCTTGTAAACTGCAAAACTACTTCTTAAACCAAGACTCTTAAGATATACAGTTACATACCTACTTTACACAAAAAGAGCAACGTTTTGAGTATCAAACAGCATCTTATCTACCCTGGAGACAGTATCTCCTAACATGCCGCCACCACAGCGGTGTTAGCGACTGCTCAGCGGGGTCCAACTGGGGGGCAGCTGATCCTGGAAAAACTCAAGGCAAAGTTGGCACTAGACTGTATCTGGGAAATAACATTCACATTGCGGAGGAATGACATAAAATGTTACCATTTTCAGCTCATGAATTCCCAAGGAGATGAAGCAGCCTGTTCTGTTGTTGTTTGTTTTTCAAGACAGGGTCTCTATGTAGCCCTGGCTGTCCTGGAACTCACTCTATAGACCAGACTGGCCTTGAACTCACAGAGATCTGCCAAGCAGCCTGGCTTCAATAACCACCTCTAACCTGCCTCCATTCAAGGGTCATTTGAACTTGAGGTTAAGAAATCACTATTACCCAAATCTAGACACTCAAAAATATACCAACGTAGGTGGCCCCAATTCATTACTCACAGTGCCTGAACGTCATAACCACAGCCATTCAACACAGCCATATCATTCAGGCTCTTCCATGGCCTACTTTATACAATAAATAACTGCAGCAGCAGGGTGAAAATCCCCGTGCAGCTGGGGTTTCCACCAATGTCTAGGTTTCCTCTCACTTTCATAAGCCCATCAAACACAAGTGTACATCTGAGAAGACGGGCTTGGAGAACGTTTCCATCATGGCACAGGTGTTTAACAGCCCTGTCGGCCTCGGAGTGACCGTTCCGTCCCCTCCTCAGTACAGAGAGCTGTCGGAGTTGAGCAGGCTGAAGGGTGTGGGCAGTTTCTTCTTGGTGTGAGGCCTTGCCAGGCCAACGTCGGGGAGGTAGAGTGTGCTGGCCGACTTCTGTCTGTTCTTACTGGTGCCCCAACTCAAAAAGGAGAGCTTCTTCGAGATCTTCTTGGCTTTGTCGGTTTTGTCGTCGTCGTCCATGGACAGGCAGATCATGGAGTAAGTCTTCTGCATTCCCACAGAGTAAGTGGCGCACTTACTGTGCTGCTTGTGGGGAAAGGAAGAAGAAGAAGAAAAGTGTTAGGAATGACTGACAGGTCTGAGACTCAAGCCAGGTGAGTGTGCATACCTGCAGTCCCGGCACTTGGGAGCTAGAAGCAAGGGGATTAGAGATTCAAAGCGAGGCTTGGCTACACAGTGAGCTGGCGGCTGGCCTGAGTCACAGCAGACATACTAAGAACCCACAAGTCTGAGGCTCACATTGTCCACGGACAGTGTCCTCTCTGAAGTTAAGGTGATGGAAGGTCCGAGAGATGGCTCAGCAGGTAAAGGCACCCATGTGTGGGGGGAGAGAACTGACTGATGTCTGCAAGTTGTCCCCTGACCTCCACATGTGCTCCACGGAACACACACACATACACACACACACACACACACACACACACACACACACACACACACACACACACAATCACACACAAAATAAATAAATAAATAAATAAAGCTTAATATGTAAAGCAAGGACAGAGGCAGTGTGGCAGGACACAATGTAATCTTGGCACTCAGGAAGCTGAGGGAGGGGGTCTTGAGTTTGCTGTTTGATTTTTAATACAGGAGACAACATGGGAAGGATGTTTATGGTGACTGCCCTTGTGTGCTGGCTAGTTTTATGTCAACTTGACCCAGGATAGAGTCATTGGAGAAGAGGGAACCTGAAATGAGAAAATGCCTTCATAAGATCTGGCTGGAGGGCATTTTCTTAATTAGTGATTGATGGGGAGGGCCCATCCCATTGTGGGTGGAGCCATCCCTGGGCTGGTGGTCCTGGGTGCTGTAAGAAAGCAGGCTTCTAGGGAACAAGCCAGTAAGCAGCACCCCGCCATGGCCTCTGCATCAGCTCCTGTCTCCAGGCTCCGGTCCTGCTTGAGTTCCTGTCCTTCGCCCTCACAGCTTTTGATGATGAACTGTTCTATGGAACCGTGAGTGAAAGAAACCTTTTCCTCCCAAGTTGCCTTTGGTCATGGTGTTTCATCACAGCAATGGTGACCCTAACTAACTTAGACTCTGGTGATTTTCAGTCAAGACTCTCCCTTTCCTGGAATTGAACAGGGCACACGCTCTGTTATTAAAGACAAGGGGAGCACAGTCTTGGAGGCGATTGCGGGGCTTGGAGCACTCCCGCCTCACCTGCTTTGCAGCTGCCTCCTTCGTGAGGGCTTTCTCACAAACACTATCAGTCCTCTTCCTTACTCCTTTGGCAGGGTGTCAGCTCCAGTTAAATTCCACCACAGCCTTCCTGCCTCCCCCACCATCATCCTTCAAAACAGCTGCGAAGGCCGGAGGCTATTTCCCCAACTGACTGGCATCCCTGGCCGTGTCTGAATGACCTCTGACCTGGCACTCCTGTCTTCCCCTGGGCCCACCAGCCCTTTGCTCCCCGCTGTTACAATCCTCTCTGCTCACTTCTAACCACTCAACACAGATATTCTCCAGGGAGCCTCGCACTACATGCCATTGCCCTGGCCTCAAAGAACAGGCCCTCCTGCCGCCACTGCTGCCTGGATCCCACTCCCTCTCCTCCAGGTACCAGCCCACACCCTGCATTCCTGCCTCAGACCATTCCTAGCAGACACAGGCTTGCTCTGCTATCCATGCATGTCTGTGTGCACATACCCCGACATTCTTGGAGAAGCTTCACTGACCCTTTCCCGCTCCCAGGATCACTCCAGGGTCAGCTCCCTTCCCAGGTCTCCTCTTCCTTTCAGGCCTCACTTTCTGTTCTTGCACAGCATGCCCCCTGCTCCTGACTCCCCAAGCCATTCTGGTCCCTGTCTGAGACTTAGGGCTTTACAGAGCACTTCTGAAAACACCACATGGTCAAACTCCAAAAACCTACTGCCAAGAACACGCCAAGGCCCAGAGAGGGTATTAACCAGCTGCAGTCACACAGCTTGACAGTCAGGGCCTGATTGTCTTCATTCCAAAGCAGGGATTCTTTCCACTGTGTTGGTAGTTTCCCAAATGTGCTCTAGGGTAAGGATCTGAACCAGTTAAAACAAAGAGTGGCAGGTGACTGACTGAGGCCGGCACAGCCCTTCATTTCTTCTCACCACTTGACTGGTTTTTTCCATCCCTGGGAGGGAGCCCAGGGCATACTAAGCAAGTGCTAGATGACTGAACCACATCCCCAGCCCTCACCACTGGATTCAGTTTTGAGCAGTGTTCAGAGGCCGAGAGATGGCTCAGTGGTTAGGAGCACCTGCGGCTCTCCCAGAGGACCTGAGTTCAATACCCAGCACCATGTCAAAAGGCACACAACCGGCTGTAACTCCAGCTCCAAGGGACCTGACGCTCTGGCACCTGCACTCACGTGTGCATGCCCACATGCAGACACACACCTACATGTAATTAAAACTAATAACCAGAACTCTTTAAAAGCAAACAGTGCTCAAGTGTCATCATCTGAACTCTTCCTTGGCTACAAAGAACAGCCATAACCATCATGGGCATCAGGTGGAGCAGTGGTGGCGCACACCTTTAATCCCAGCACTCGGGAGGCAGAGGCAGGTCAAGGCCAGCCTGGTCTACAGAGCAAGATCCAGGACAGGCACACCCTGTCTCGGAAAAAAAAAAGAAAAAAAGAAGAAAGAAACATGGCATCATTATCACTCCTATTATATAAACAAGTAGATCTTGTGCCCAGCTTTACCTACACTCACAGTGGCCCGTTAAGACCCCAAGGATACAGATCCTTTCTCCCCACTGTCTTGAGCTATTCTTGGACTTGCCCAAGGTCCCTGACTGGTTAAGGCCAGAATTCAAATCCAGCCAGGCTGTGTGCTGAATGACTTCTTTGAACCACCATGTCTGGTTGCCTGGTTCAAAGGCAGGGCAGCAACAGAAATAAACTTCTGACCGGTCGGTCATGGGAGCAGAGCAAGCTCTGTGCAGTCCAGATTCCCGGCAACGGTCGAGACCATGCAGAGCCGGCTGTCTAACCTCTCCTCAGACAAACTGGTGCTGACTTGATTGCCTGTGGGAAGCTGAAGGACTTGTGCGTGAGTCCCCACCCCACAGCATTTCCCATGGTTTCCTTCCAGTGTGCTGAGTCTCAGCTTCCTCGTCTCGTCTTTATCACAGCAACATGAAGTTAACGAGCACAGCTGCCAAATGCTGTACGTGAACATCACACACACGCACGCACACACGCACGCACACGCACACGCGCACACACGTACGCACGCGAGCACACACGCACACACGCACGCACGCACGCACTCGAGCACACACACGTGCAGTCTACACCACTTGGCCAGATACTCATGGCCTGCCTCCAGGCAGCAGTCATCCTTCTAAAACAAACACCAGACTACGTCAGCACCCTTCTGTGAAGACGGAATGGCTTCCACCCTCCACCCCTGTAAACAAGCCCTCGGCTCCACTTCCTGTAGTCCCCTCTGGTCACAGCACAGTTTTTAAAGGTCTTCTTCTATACCTCTAGCACAGTCTGTCTTGAGGTGGGTGCTGTGCTCAGCACACCCTTATTTTCTTTCTTTTTAAAAAATTATTCATTTATTGTTATTTTGTGTGTACGAGTGTCTGCAATGTCCAAGAAGGCCGAAAGATGGTGCCAGATACAGTTGTGAGCTGC